GTAAGTTTTTCACTTACTGCACTGTGCATGTTGACTTGGTTTATATTTTTCCGATGTTTGCAACTCTGTGAATCTGCTACAGCTGCTGATTTTGCTCTCAACTGTCATTTTGGATAAAAAGTGAAATTTTTAAATGGAAAGAGTTTTTGCATTTTTAATTGATGACTTTTGTAGTATTAAACACAGTTTGAACAATGTTGTTTGCCTGAAGGTAACAAACATATCTTATTCTATGAAAAAAAAGGAAGTCCTCGCCTCAACACACCATATGCATGAGGCCGCCCTACGTGCATGCATACATGTACATGTACATGTATGTAGGGCTACACAATGTGGTGTTTTGTTTCAATGTCTGACTCAGTCTTTGTGTATCGAATGTATATTTTGCAAGAATCCTTTGGCAGGGCTTGTTGTTCCCCAGACCCCGTTAGCTGCGCGTATCTCATTTGTGTGGTAATCATGGCCTATAGGCAGACAGTCATAGAAGAGAGAGAGAGAGATAGGGATACAGAACTGTGGCGTAGACCCACTCTGCCGAACCCTCCCACGGGAACGCCAAAGCTAGGCCAAGCTCTCCCTTACAGAATCACCTGTCCCCGGCCCCCGCATTGCTCTCTCTCGCTCTCTCTCTCTCTCTTTCACATCTTCCCCCCTCCAACAGCTCAGCCCCCGTAGACCGTGGGGGACTCTCTGGCTGTTTTTCTGCTCTCTCCCCGCATTTTGCCACAGCAGCGGCAGTCACATCTGCGAGGCAGATTTCCCAGGCTTGGAAAATGTAATTTTAGTTGTTTGCTTCAGGCTCTGCCGAGCCCCCCCTGGGGAGTGACTGGCCTCCCCCTGTGGAGGCTCTTAGCCAGAGCCAGGGAAGGTTATAATACAGCTTCATTTTTTTTCCCTTCATCGCTTGGACCGGGGCCTTTCAGATTCGTAAAGCCAGTCTGGGCCAGGCAGCCCTGACTGAGCTTCCCCAGGGAGGGCCATGAATACTGCAGTTCCAATTTTCAATCATTTCGACGGGAGGTCCCCGCGGAGGCCTAAATGTAATTTGCCACCATCAGCGGGATATAAGCCAGGTCCATTTCCATTTGGCAGTGGTCCGCGGGGAGCCCTGCCCGGGCCCAGTTGCAGCTGGGATTGTCTTCTTTATCTCCGATGCGAGAGCTCCCCGGGGAGCTAGGCTGGTTCAGCCAGCAAATTTTTACTTCTCTTTTTCACCGCCATTTCCATCAGGCTAGTGGTCTGCTCTTCCTTGGCAATCTGATTGCCTCCCGGTTCCCCGCGGGATTCCCTGTCTTCGTCATTGTGGCCTACTTCACTGGTGACCCATCTCCCCTTGGGCTGATGATCTACACCGCGGCCAATACTGACTGCAACTGTCTAGAGAAGCCGTGCACCGGGCAAGGCCCCAATTTAATTTCATAGGAGGAAAACAGGGAGATATAAACCACTGCATAATATGTACATTCACCTGTGTACTCCATGACATATGTTGTTCCCGTACCCTACACAGTTGAAATACAAAGACATGTTCATGTGTTTTAAATGCATACATATACATGTACATGTGCACATATATATGTGCACCTGTACACGACTGTATGTACATGTATGATATGTATTTAACTGTACAAGTATAAATTTATCAAGAATTGAAAACAATATTGTTCTCTTTTTTTTTTTGGGGGGGGGGGCAGTAGGTCCCTTTGTTACAACTGATAATGTAGGAACCAACGGATACTGTACATGTATCACCTACCAATAATGTCACAAATTGACTGATATTGTATCACTAACCGATAATGTAACAAAAGTTGACTGATAGTGTAGTAAATGTTACTACATTGTACACTATCAGTCAATATTTGCTACATTATCCGATAATGTAACAACAATCGACTGATAGTGTAGTAAATTTAACCACACTATCCGTCAATTTCTGTTAGCCGTTGGTTACTACATGTACATTATCAGTTGTAACACCCTTTGTGTACATTTAAAGACATACATAGCGTAGTACCAATTTGGGGGAAGTTAACCACCCATTATTACACATGTATTATGTTATTCTTGAAAGGAATAAGAACTGAGTCTGCAGTTTTCACTTTTGTCAGAAATATAATTTTATTATCACTGCTTTGAATATTAGAGAGCTACAAATACCGGTTCAGCATAACATATTTTATTCAGTCATGACTTTTAGATGCGTTACATGAAGTGTGAATTCTTCTAGCGTTTTTGTATTGGAACCGTGCCACAAACAGGAATTTACTTCCTCCCCGAGCCCGCGTGAGCACACCACACACCAGGATGGACTGAGGGCTGGACCAACCCAGGGGGCTGTGGAGGGGAACAAAATAATGAAACCGACAACTGCTGGAATTGTCTGTCCCCCATACTGTGAGCAATGCCCCCCTGTTAAGCCAGGGTCATGCACGAAACCGTACCCCACGGAGACCAGAAAATATCAGTCTCTCTACAGCCTACATCAGAGGCCCTGGGAAACAGCCAGACTTTTACCCACCCCCCAGGGGGAATGCTAACCCCCTGTGCAGGTCATATGTGGCCATGTAAGTCTGGAGGAGTGCATTCACGGCATGGGGGAGGAAAATCAATATAAGACTCCAGAGTGCCCGCCTTGCAGGGGGTATCAGGCCTAGGTAATTGAGCTGTGGATGTTGGTGTTTTTTTTTCTTTTTTTACACATAAAAAGAGGTTCATTAAGCCTGAGTTGTTTGGGCGGGAATGGCGTGCGCCCCCCTCTGACTTCCAGAAACAAAACTTACAAGCTTGGCAGGCGGTTGGTCCTCCTAAATTCTGAGTCGATTGATTCTGGGGGAGTTAATATCCCTTTCTCAAGCTTGATCAAGGATGTTTATTACTTTACATGGACTGTACGTTGAATAATCATTGCGTATTGTTGTAATGCAATAAAGTTCTGGCTAGAAACTTGGATTTCGAAGATTATTTATGGAAATTACCATAAGGCCAAGACAAACAATTATTTGGTCTCTGGTCAGACCAAAGTTCCGGAATTGACACGGGGACGCGGCTTTTGTTTGTTTGTTTGTTTTTTTTTCTTTTTTTTTTTCTTCAAGCTTGGATTGTACAGAAAAGGTGGGGTACTATTTTGCTTTTTTGGTTTCCTCATGTACATTGGTGTCCTCCATAATTTGCCTTGGTGCTCTCGATCATTTGCCTTGGTGCAGTTTCCCATTCCTTGGTGCTCTTTGGTAAAAAAAAATTGAGGAGGTGCGGCAAAAGAGGGCGCTGTTGGAGCTACCGCAGAACATTTTGGGAAAAAAAAAAGAGTGACGCGCATGATTAAAATGGACGCGCGCTGACCAGAGACCGACTTATTTTTTGGGGGGCCTACCTGTACCTGACTTTTATGTCTGGCGTTGTGCTTTGTTTGATTTGAGTCGAGGATTTACCATGTTAGTATAATCGCAAGTATCCTAATGAAATACAATTCTGTTCTGTCTTGAAATCTGTTATGCCTAAATTTAAAAAAAAATTACGATGTAGCTTTTTGAACAAGGGATTTGTAATACCATAGAAATGCTATAATTTCAAACAGCAATTTTTGATATACTGGTAGTGTGGGGAATCGGGTCAATCTTAATTACATTGTACACGTAGTGCCTTTACCGAGGAGTTGTTTATGAACCGCACATCGCAGGTGGTGCAGTAGTGCCCTCTGCTAAAACAAAAAGTAGGGTTTAAATTGGTCTGTGATTATAAGCGTTTATTTCTTGTACAATTTATTCTTAGTAAACATTCGATGTAAAATGGGTCGGGCCGATAATTTGCCAGGTGAGTGGATATTTAAACAGTAAACTAAGGGGGGTTGGTCACCCAAACAAAGCGCATAGATATCGAAGCTTGCTGAGTGATTCGGCCTCTTGTAGCATCACCTAGACACTTGGAGCCAGAATCTCATCCGTCCTCTAGCTCAGACTACATGTAGCTGCTTATTTCAGAGAGAGATCTTTTCAGATAAGTGTTGGGGATTGCCAAGTACAAGGGAGTGCCATTCTATGTCTATTGGATACCCTTTTCTTTTTGTCAACTCTGCTGATTGCTTGACCTGGAGATCCACATCCCTCCCTGTTGGCTCAATATAGCACAAGCAGTCAACACACAGTGCATGCCCCTGCTTGCTACTACAATAGTCATGTGTGTTTTCAAAGATTTAGCTGCCGGAAGCTGGGCCCAACCCACGGGTACGATCTTGCTGTGCCATGTTGTTTCCCATCATGCCTTGCGCCATCTGAATTGTGTTTAAATATGCCACTATTTGGCAGATTTAAATAAGGACTGCAGTTGTTGTGTTTAACGCACGATGCAGTGCTTAAAATTTTGAAACTTTTTTTGGGTAGAATCAATCCTTTCAAACGTGAGATTTTGACGTCGCGTTATAGAGCGAGGATTTATATTAATTGTATGTACCTCTGTTGTCCCTTTACAACACAAGATAGAAGTTTTTTTTTTGGGGGGGGGCGAAAAACGAGGCTTCCAGAATCCATATCGTACAGGCATCATGCAGTCTTGAAAAAAAAGTGTTCGTACGTGATGTGCGAGCGCATAGGGCATGCAGTCTTCGTAATTTGAGCGCAGTATGCTCTGAATAGTCAATCAGTGTTACTTGGGGTAAGTGGAGGAACGCCCATGCGCCCATGGAGTCGAGGCTGAGCCCAATGTCATTGAGCTTCCAAGCAGAAAATATTGCTTAGCTGAAAATATTCAAACAAATGTTGCTTTGCTTAGCCAGCAGAGTACCAGTCACAAGCAAAACTCCCTTACAGTTTGGCTGGTAACATATTTTTTAATAAGCAAATTATTTCTGCTGAACATTAGCAAATTTCTGTGTTTTGAAGGAGACGCCACAAATTGTGGCCCCTTGTAAGTTGTAGGGAAAAATGAAAACGGTGTCTTCATCATGTTGTGGACATTTTAAGGTAATGATGATATTTTCTCGTTCTTCTTTTTTTATCGTCCAGGTGGTCCATTCTTGAAGGGGTTAGCTATCGGTGAGGCAGGACCATCTTCTAGACCAGACCACGAGGTTGAGGAAGACAGGCTCTCGTTTTTATCAGACGACACCAGAAGCAAGAAAGGTCAGTGGTATCGATTTTGTTGACGTTTCAGTGACAAACTAGTTTAGTAAAGTGCATGTAATCAAGAAGGAAATAACATCCAGAGTTTGCTTTGGTATCTCAATGAACTTCCCCTTTCCTGTCTAAAAGAAGAAAAAAAAACTTCAGGCAAATGTGACACTGTATCAGAAAACCAGGCACTTCCTTATTAAAGAAAGATTGTGTTTTGGTTTTGGGGATTTTTGTCTTTGGAAGGTCAAGTTCAGATGAGCAAGTAAAATACAGATACATGTAAAAACAAATTGATAGGATGAGTCTGGTTTGAAAGTGACTTACTCTTACAAACACACGCAGTCGTGAATTTCTATATGCCAGAGGACAATGCTTTGTGTTTCCCTTTGTCCCTGTAATAAACACTCTCTCATAGACTAAGCACATAACCGTACAATCAAGGACCATTTTCAACAAAAGACCCAACTCTCAAGGACTGAAAGGATCTTTTGTTCTCCCTTTGTGTCTCTATCCTCCATCGTAAAGCCATACATGCACACATTATTCATGTATTATTCGTGAATAATACAAATTTGGGCAGACTTAAACTTATTTTAAAAGTTGTGTTAAGTCCTTCCAGTCATCCCATTATGTTACAGACATCTATCTTTTATATTTTGTGAATTCCTTTTTATATGTGCTCCCTCCTTTCTACTCATAATGCTCCTTTCTACTCATAATGTGGAACTCACTTTGAGAGCTTTGTGATCACAACTTTAACCCCCCCCCCCCCCCCCCCCCCCCCCCCCCCCCCCGGAAAAAACATGGAGGTTCCTGAACTGTTTTGAATGGTAGCTCTTTATATTACTGGTCCTTGTGAGCTTTTGGGAGGTGTTCTATTGATAATGATGTTTTATCTAGAGGTATTGGTGTAGGAGTCCATACTTTGCTTGTGTTCCTGGGCGAGACACTTTACCACAATCCTCTCTCTCTCTACCCAGGAGTATAAATTAGGGCCGTCTATTTTGGAATAATTTAGTATTTGATTACTCGATACTCGAAACTGCGTTTGACTGAATATTTGGATAGTCGAAACTGCCAGCTTCAATTGCGTGCTGTGCCGGTAAAAGTTGTACTAAGAGTGCGCCAGTCAGAATTTGCGTGCAGTGAACGATATGGGGCACTGGAGTGTTTTGCAGTAACTATTTTATAACTGTAAAGCGCTTTAACCTGCTAAAAGGATGTGAAAAATGAACCGCCGTCGACAGAAAAGTTACAGTCGACAAAAAAGTGGCATCAGACAATAAAGCGCCGCAACTTACGTTAAAATGACATCACAGTCATGTGTGTATGTGCATAGTTCTTTTGTGTTTTCGAATATTCAAACGGGCAAAAAGCTATTCAAATATTCAGTTGTTGATCGAATATTTGAATATTCAGTAAATTCGGTACATATATATGTAAGCATGAGGGTATAGAATAGAGCATGGTGATTTCAAACTGCTGCATTAAAACTGATCACATAGCACGATGAGCAGGGGTAGTAATGATATAAACACCACATTATAATTGTTATTGATTGTTATTTCTTAAAATGTATTCTATAATCCTCATTATTATTGTTATTGATTGTTATTTCTTAAAATGTATTCTTTAATCCTCAGCTCGATCGAGTGCCGGGGAGTCTTCGCATCTTGAGGAATCAACAAAGAGCCCAACCTGCAGCCATCTCAAGACATTTTGTGACGATGACAATGACTCCATTGCCTCGGAGAGTGAGAGAAGACATTCAGTGAAGCCACCTAGAAGCGGTGAGCATGCATTGTCAGAGTAACCAATCTTACGGTACCATGGTGATGTTTGCTTCTTCCAATTAGCTGGGGAGAAGTTTTGCTGATTAGTTGGTACCTGTCATTGCAACTCACTGACATTCTTTAAGTTTCCCCAGTTCTTTTTTCTCCAAAACTTTCTTCCTCGAAACTCTAACTTGAGTTGAGTCATTTGCCTGTAGGGACTCCAGTGGAGTCACCGAGAACCGCAAAAGTGCAATTGAGTTAACTTGATTCGATCTTGAGTTAAGTCATTAAAAATCTAGATTTGTCTTTTCAGAACGACAATCTGAAGAATTGCTTGACCTTGAAGATGACGACCCAGCCATTGATGACGATGTAGATGATGTTGGAGAAGACGAAGACGAAGAGATTTACAAGTGCGACACCTGCAACTCAGCGTTTTTGAGCATTGCCGATTTCATGGATCATAGGAACTATGACTGCGACACAGGTTGGTGAACAGACCAGTTGGAAAGAGTGATGCAGCTGAGTCCATCACATGTACCAAATTATATGCAGTCTTGTTCCGTAGTTGTGGGGACAAAAATGTACACTCGTCTGTACGAGGTGTTTATGGGGACCGCAAATGCTGTGGACACAGCAGAAAGTCCCCATAACTTGGTCCTAATTTGCCTAACAATAAAAAACTTCCCCATAACGTGGTGTAGGCCAGGGCTACATAACTCTTTAGGACAAGGCAATTGTTTTTTCCCTTTGTCCCTGTAATATAACACTCTCCCATAGACTAGGCACACAAACGCGAGATCGAGGACCGTTTTTAACAAAAGATGAATGCTCGAGGACAACAAAGAATCTGTTGTTCTCCCTTTGTCTGTCTGTCCTCGGGGTGTATATAGTTCACGTACAGACACTCGGTGTGTGTCTTGTCCATGGGGCTCTCAAAAGTGGTAAAAAACACCCTCTCTTGTTCCAGCACGGAGCCCATATGGGCAATTCCACGGTTACTCACGTTACATTTTTGATGAACTTTTGAGTTTCCTTGGGCTGTAATTACCTTACTGAAAAGGTTTAATAACTGTTATCCCCATGGTAGATAGAGTAGACCTAGACCTACCGGGTACCTAAGGACCAAAGATGACATCCAGAAAAATGTGTTATGTATGATAAACAAGTCGCACAAAATCAGTTACTCACGTTACATTTTCGTACCAAAAGAAAATTGATGGACTTGACTGCAACACTTGTTTGAAACTGAGAATTTGCCGTGGGTCGTGGGTTGTTTGTCAATGAGTTGAAACCTGCGTTTTTGAGAATTTTGTAAAGAAAGGGCATGATTGTGTGGAAGAAGACCCTTGAAGTCCTTGACAGTATTCACAGCGAAAGAATGTCGGTAGTGCTGGTTTGAGTAGGAACCGAACCTTCTATTTCTGGAATGTTGTGGGCTGCTCAATCGACTGAGCTTTAAAGGGCCCATGCAATGTAATTTTTTTAAGCAATCCTTGAAAATGCACCTTTGTGTCAATTTCCATATTCATGAGCAAAATTGTGATGTCAGATCAGGCAGAAACCTCAATGTTACAGCTATTTCAGCACCAAAGGTTGCCGGAATTTTGGACATTTTGCTGCCGTGATTTTTTTTTAGAAGTTTATAGAAGTGCACTTTTCAATAAAAATTAGCCAAAAATGGATGTCAAATAGTCTTCATACAGTTAAGAGGAGTAGAAAGTTGCACGAAATGTGATCCTAAGGAAAATTCATCTTAGTGATTCTCAGGCTGATTGGTTGTTATCCATAGATATGGAATTGTGAAAGCGAGGGTAGGGTTTGAGATGGGGAGGGAAAGGGTAGCCGAAATGGAGGGATGCTGAGTTGGAAAAGTGGCCCTCATTTTTTTTTTTTTAAAGAAGTTAATTTCTTGTCTTCTCAATGTGTTGAATTTGAAAATGAGTTGAAAGCATATGTTTGGTAGTGTTATTAATTCATTTCTGTATTTTGTTTTCTTTAATGCAGATATCGGGATTGGTGAGGTAGATGATTCACCCAGCAAGTTCTCTATGTCTGGTTCAGGTAGGTTTAAACAATTGTTACATTTCATCCAATTCCTGTGTCTGTAGATACACCCAATATTTAATCTATGTTTAAATTGTAAAACAAGGCAAATCACTATTTTCAATGTTGAACTGCATTCATTCACAGCAGGGCTGTAGTCAATTGTATCTCAAGTCACTGCAATTCCATCACAAGTCCTCCAGTCCCAATTCAAGTCACAAGCTATTCAAATGAGCTTTGACAAAGACATTATTTTGTTATTGTTCATCCTTTGTTTCTTGTGATGAACTTTTGATGAACTTGTTATGGACTCAACTACACTCCTGATTTGCAGTGTAACAAGATGCTGTGAGTATCATGGCATGTCTTATGAATTTCCACCAAATATTCCACTCTGTTATTCAGAACATCACCTTTCAAGTAAATAGGTTTTTTTGGTGGCTATGTAATTTTTTACTTTCTTGTAGACAGTGCTAATTGCCAAGATATTCAATTTTTGGTCTGAAATTGCAGATGAAGGGAATTCCTCCAGTGAGCTCCTGGATCCTGACTCGCCATACACCCTAGAGCAAGGTTCCCTGGATAGCAACCTGCCCTACCATTGCCAGTTCTGCGACCGAGCGTTCCACAGACTCACGTACCTCAAGCGCCACGAGCAAGTCCACAGCGACAAGATGCCGTTCAAGTGCACATTCTGCAGTCGGCTCTTCAAGCACAAACGCAGCCGGGACCGGCACGTCAAGCTGCACACGGGAGACAAGAAGTACCAGTGTCCCCAGTGTGATGCATCGTTCTCGCGTAGCGACCATCTGAAGATCCACCTCAAGACTCACACAACGGGGAAGCCCTTCCGATGCCCGATCTGTAATCGCGGTTACACCACCAACGCAGCATTGATGGCACACACTCAGAACTTCCACAAGACGCAGATGGTGACCAAAGGGAAAGATTACAAGTGCGTGCACTGCTCTGCCACGTTCACGACATCTGAGAACCTATATGATCACCTTCAGACTCATGTCTCCGAATTGCCGGACGGAAAAACTGCCCTGTACACAGTCGCACACACAAATGGGGAACCTTTCAATGAGTCGCTGGACCCAGAAGATGAAAACAAATGTCCAGTTTGTGAAGAAACGCTAATGTCTGTTGACGAGCTTCAGGCTCATTTAGATATGCACAAGGACAGCATGAATATTCCCTTGCAGTGCCAGTACTGTCCTCGGGCCTACTTCCCCAGCATCACAGTGCTCAACGTCCACATGAAGACTTTGCATTCGGACAAGTTATCCAAGATACATCAGTGCCAGTACTGTGGCAAAGATTACCCCACCTTGTTCAATCTGACTGAGCATATGTCAGCCATGCATGAGCCCCTCGGGACTCATTCCAATAGCTCCAACCAAGCCACTCCAACAAGCACCATGCTTTCTTGTGCATATTGCACCATGGAGTTTGGCTCAGGAATCGCTCTGCGCAGCCACATTGACAGTGTTCATTCGATTCCTAATGCAATCACTTACGATGCGGACGGGCGCCTTCTCTGCCCACGTTGCAGCATGGGGTTTCTGACCGAACAAGCGCTATACGAGCACTTCCAGAATTCTCACGGTAACGTGGATTGCCAGTTGACCAATGATGCACGAGTGCAGTGTCATCAGTGCACCAAAGTGTACCCCAATCATGCGATGCTCCAGGAGCACGTTAATCGTAGTCACAGCCAGGCACTTGACAGCATGAAGTACCCTTGTCCCTACTGCATCAAACAGAACCTCTTTGATTCCATTGAGCAGCTCCAGCTTCACGTCCAGGTCTTTCACCAGAGTGACCGAGCCCCGGTCTTCCTCTGCCCAGAAGAAGACTGTAAGGGCCACTTTGACACAGCCGATGCCCTGAGTGAACATCTACAGAATGACCACAATCAAGAAAACAGCAACAAAGACACACCCTCATCAAGTAAGTCGACCAATCCAGGGAAAAACAAGAAAGAGAAGAATAAGGAGAAAGGTAAACACAAAGAAAAGCGGAAGTCATCTTCTGGGAAGCAAACACCGATCAGAGTTTTGCCACTAACCCCACCGGCGGAAGCTGACAAGCCTGTTGAACCTCGTCCATCTAGCCCTCACACTGATCACAGCAGCCAGGGAGCTTTCTCCTGCCCCACCTGTCATAATGAGTTCACTAACGAGGAGCAGTTAGTGGTCCACGTGCTTACCCACTACAAAACCATCTCAGCAGAATACATCTGCAAAGATTGCGGTAAGAGCTTCAAGAAGCCAGATGAGTTGCAGAAGCACCTGTTTGAAATCCACGCCCATCACTTGTACAAGTGCTCCCTGTGCAAGGAGGTGTTTGACTCCAAGGTCTCGATACAGGTGCACTTTGCTGTGAAGCACAGCAATGAGTGCAAACTCTACAGCTGCATGAAGTGCGGAGTGGTCTACCGCTCTGAAGGAGACCTCCTGGTCCATGTCAAATTTGAACACTTGAAGATCACTCAGCCTTTCAAGTGCCTGTTCTGCAGCCAGAGTTTTGCCTCAGATGTTGAGTTTCAGTGTCACCTCACATCCCACTCAGAGCAGTTTCGTTGCCCATTCTGCAATGCTCCCTACAGCTCCCAGGAGACCCTAGAAGTGCATTTAAGAGCCACTCATGATTACTCTGACGCTTCTCCGAGCGTACAGAAATCCCAGACAAATAAGGAGTCTCCCTCTGACAAGCCGACATACAGCTCCGACTCGGATAACAATCCCAAGGAAGCCAATGACATGAAGCACGAGGAGGAAGGATGCTTCATCTGTAAGATCTGTGACACCAAATTCCCACTAAAGATACTCCTTGAAAAACATCACCTAAAGGAGCATGACATCCAGGCTCGCAGTGCCTCAATCCAATCCCAGATGTCCTCAGTGACAGCCCAGACTTCAGAACCCAAGAGGAAGCATAAGTACCCCTGCGACACCTGCCCTCTGAGCTTCAAGACCAAGTACGAGTTGATGAAGCATGCCATCGAGCACACAGCAGAATTCAAGCTGCGATCAGAGAGCACGTCCCCCCAGCCCATGGGCATTTCCTCCAAACAGCCCACCTGGCACTGTAAGTGCTACGTCTGTAAGCAGCCCATCCAGATGGAAACGGAGTTCCTAAGTCACGCCCAGCAGCACAATGAAGAAATCGCCGGCCCTGGGAACACCATCCGTTGCGTCGCCTGTCTGCAGATACTCACCTCAATGGTGGAGCTACAGCTTCATGCGAGATATCACACCCAAGCCCCGCCATCCACGGGAGTTCATGAGTTATACCCTTGCTACGTTTGCGGTAAAACGTTCGGTTCCAGAACAGATGTGGTGCCCAAACTGGATGGCAGCAATCACCCTTGCTTCATGTGTCTCAATTGCATCAAGGCATCCCTTGAGAGCCAGTTTTCGGGGGTGTCGTCAGGGACACCTTTTGTCAAGATACCTGCAATGAACAACCACCGCTGCCCGAAATGTAGCGTGAAGTTTGAAACCCGTGAGGAATTGGATACTCACCTGGTGACCCACGGGGCAGGGAAGACCTACCAGTGCATCAAATGCCAACAGAACTTTGCCACCGAGATGGAAATCCAGCTGCATGTCACGACTCACGTGCTGTCTGAAGGGGTGCATCTTGAGTGCAAACTGTGCAAGGATATCTTTGACTCCCCGGCCAAGCTACAGTGCCACCTCATCAATCATTCCTTTGCCGACAAGGAGTACCGATGTCCGATATGTAAGGCAATGTTCAGCTGCGCTCAGGACATTCAAGCTCATGCAGTAGAGCACGGGATGGAAGCACGGCGCCACAAGTGCTCCCAGTGCAGTCAGACTTTCTTCTTCTCAGCTGAACTCCAGAACCACGTCCTGTCCCATCCCAGTCAAGAGGACTTGGGGATCTTCCGGTGTGAAGAGTGCCGTCGTGTCTTCTCCTCCAGTGCCAGCCTGAGCAACCACTCCCGCCTGCATGCTACCCCAACTGATAAGGGCTTCAAGTGCTCCATCTGCATGGAGATGTTCTACTCCACGGTGGACCTCCAGCAGCATTATTTCCGGACTCACTCTGAGGCGGAGCTCGGATGCAAGAAGAAATCCTTCAAATGCGGTCAATGCGACGAGGTGTTCCCCTGCCTGAGTAACCTTCAGGGACACATGAGAATCCACACCGATGGAAGGAAGTACACCTGCACCACCTGCAATAAAGTCTTCTCCCTCTCTCGTAATCTGACCATCCACATGAGGTCTCACAGTGGGGAGAAGCCCTACCAGTGTCCGATGTGCGACAAACGATTCGCCCGTAAAGAGAACAGAAAGGTGCACCTTAAATCGCACACCGGCATCAAGCCATTCATGTGCCCTCACTGCGGGAAGATGTTCTCGCGCAAGTGTCACGTCCGGGACCACATGAGGACCCACACCATGACGGTGACCCGAGGCTCCCTCTTCCAGTGCGAGTACTGCCAGGAGACCTTCACCTTGGCTAAGAACCTGCGTCGACACATCCGTAGAATCCACAAGGAGGAGGGCACGTCCCAGAGTAGTTCAGCTTCCCCACTCAGCTCGTCAGAATCCCTCATGGGTGAGGACGAAACATCACCTGAAATGGGAGCCTCCTCAGAGAGTGATTCCTTGGGTGCCGAGCCTATTGTCAGTAGTAGTCAGGACCCCCAAGCAACTGAAGAAATGCAGATTCTCTAAAATGATTTGAAAACAAAAATAAGATCACCCATTGATTTCTTGTCTAGAGATCCCAAACTGGTCTCCTTTTATTAACCCATGTACAGCTCCACACCGCCCTGCATGTTACTCCCTGTACTGCCTACAAGACAGCTCAGCACTGAATGGGTTTTTATGAATACATTGTACATTGTTATACAATGAAGAACAGGTGCTAGCAGGTTCAATCCTGCCCACTGAACTGCTAGAACTGTTGTCATTTTCCAACCGTTCACTCACTGCAACCACCCTGTAAAACTGGGTAGAAAATAAGTAGTTCTTTCCATGAAAGAAAAGGTACGTAAATTCTTAATTCTGAAATAGAATAGTATATGCACAGTCATTGATGTCACATATTATTAATATATCATTATTATTTTGGCAACTAGTCAATTTTGAAATTTTTAGTCAGTTTCAGATTTTTATTTTCAAAGCATTTATCAGTTTCAAGAACATTTCCTCCTGGTATAGTAAAATTAACGAAAACATCACTTACTTCCCATTTAATTTTTTTAATAAAAAAAATTGGTAGATTGTTTTTTTTTTCTTCACATGATTTAATTACAATTGCAAGTAGATCTTGCCATTAGCTATGGCAAATGGAAAACTTTTCATACATTCTGAATATCCTCTGCTTGAAATCATGATAGCATTTAACCAACATTCATAAATACCTAAGACAGTTTACCCACTCCCATTGGTCGAGAGCCTGTCACGTGGCTGGTCTTAAACGGATGATAAAGACATGGCTGGCTGGTTTTAAATACTTTTCCCAGTGTCGCATGAAATTTGGAATCCCATGAAATCCGGTGCCTTTTACCATTTTATTGGTTGAATGATCACAATCCTCACGTAGACATGGGCAATTCTAGCAGCGAGTCAGTATTTCAGTCCTAGATTCACAACGCACTCGCCACAGCTGCATCTGCGCGTCATTACACAGTACGCGTGCGCCAATCTCCATAAAAGGAGTTGTTTACGTCTTACTCGCGAGCTGGATACTCCATTATATAGCTAGAGGGGTGTTTAAAAAAAGAAGAAAATATTTGAACAAAATTGTTGGAAATTTGTAATTTTTGACTTGTTTTGACTTAAGACTGAACAACTTTTTTTTTCCAAAAAGGCATGAATGGGAATAAATATTTGCGTGGCTTGGGTAATTTTCAGCATCCAGACTCAAACCAGTCTTAAACATTTCCCAAGCACACATTTATTCTGTTATTACAGATGTCACAAAATTAATTAAAAATTTTTTTTTGGAAATGTGATATAGATGTAATACAATGGGTTCAGGGTTACATTAAACACCTCGAAAATGAAATGCTTTAGTAATTTCTTCGTAGTCTTTAATCCATTCTGTCCTTCAAAGGATTATGATTAACAGTATATATTCCCCGTTTTTCATTTATAAGATAAGATAAAATATAAGATATATACACAAGAGGCTTTTGGTAGATCATTTCTGTGCTACGTTTTAAATGTAGAAATGGAGGCAATTTGCAGCGTTTTGTATTATTGAAATTATATTTATGTATTTTATGTATCCAAAAGCTCGAGACGAAAGTACAAACTTGTAACAATGCTACCATTCAACTTGCTGTTTTCTATTTCCGTAAAGCAAATTATCAAAAATATGCATTTGATTGGTTCATAACACTCTAGGCATTTTTGCTAGGGTGCAACCTCCTCCAACTGCCTCCATGTAAAAATTGCATACAGCCTCAATCCTCCAAAATCAATTGTTATTTCTTGAGGGGTGACCACTGCTTCAAAATCCTTCAAAATCCTCCAGCAGTCACTGTCAATATGAGGCAGAGCCAGTGACATCCTGGAGCAGTGTGGAGGATTTCAAGTATAATCTAGGCCTACATTTATGCACAGCCGAGCATAAACAACACACGGTCCAGCCTAAGACCTTGACACCGTGCATCCTCCAAAATCAGCCACACATTTTTGCCATTATAGCCTCAATCCTCCACTTATATTTGGGGAGGTTAGCGCTCATTATATCAGGGTAGTAAAGAATGATCAGGGTTGTTTCTGGTTCGATTCCCAGAATGATGGTTTTTCTTTTATTTAGAGACTCTTTGCACACTGGTTAAATTGATTACTCCGGCCAAAACAAACATCAAACCTTAACCATAACGAAGGTCAAACCCATCAAATGTTATCAAATGATAAAAAGCATATAATCTATTGTTAAGTAATTTTAAATCAACTTAAAATATCAAGATACTTAATTGATTTTTTTCTTAAAAATCTTTCTAAGACAGCCACATACTTTTCTTACATCTACTAAAATCAAGCTCTCAAATCTGTTTTTTTTTTTAGGAGAAACAATTTTTTAGAAGAACTTACATGGCTCCTGAGTCCTTCCGCGTTTTTAATATATATCTAGCTCTTTAATTTTGTATTTATCTAGGGATTAATTAACACCCCCAACCCCCCCCCCAAAAAAAAATAGTTGTTTACATGAACAGTTGTCAATTGTATACAAGATGTATGAATTACTTGGTGTAGGTTTCAGTAGAAATGGTCAATATTTAAGTACATTTTGTTTTCTCAAAGAGTACATTTTTATTTTCCAAGAGGGATAACAGTATTTATTTCTGTACATTGCACATTTGTTGCCAACTTGTAAGTTGTTCATTGATTTTATGTGTAAAAGCAAAGTTTGTATCATATTTTGCTTGTTTTGGGGTTAAAAGGCAATGATTAATCAAGTACATGTATATGGCCGCACCGTTGAGATGGTTCCAGGCACTGATATCGACTTGTTCTTGTTACGTCCCAACTAAAGCAGTGGTCCCAATTACAGATGGGCAGTCCCAACTGCAGTTGGGACCATTTAAATGTAGTTTGGATTGGCCCAACTATTACGATGCTAGTTAGTAGTTGGGCACTACACTCTTACTTCATTCTGCTTGTAGATTAGCGCCATTTTCAATCGGTGCTTGGAACGTATAACCACATTATGTTTGGTTCAAAATTGTGTACACGTCTTTATTTCAGCTTTTTATGTAGGCCTAAAACACGTTACAACTACCTTATGTTGGTCTTTTGCTTTCTATTTTTTTTGGCACAAAGTAGTATATTGATAAATTAAAATGGTTTGAGGGTATATCTGAAAAAAAAAACACGTCGTTTCCATTCCTTGAAAATGTTTAAAGGGAATATACATCATTTGCTTTTGCTGTAATTTTCAGAAATGGATGGAATTGGGGGGTTGGAAATATATAGCAAATATAGTTACACTGACTTTTTTGAGGTTTTGGGTTCAAAAATGCTATAAAAACCAAGTAAAGCAATCATTTTCCTGTAGTCTGGTTCCCTGACTCCATGTAAGAAGAAACAGAGCAGTTTACATACATTGGGGAATTGTAAGGTCAGGGAACCAGTCTAGCTGGCTTGTACCCGTTCATAGGTGTGTAATCGATTGCAAACAAGTGCGATGGTTAACTGGGGCCAGTATTTGAAAAAAAGCCAGTTTTTTCCAACGCTGATCGGCCGATCAGCGTTGGAAATTGATACAAAAATACCACTTTTCTTGAAAATGACAGTATACCAGGTGCCATGATTTTACAGGATGCTTCACACTGTCATTCACTAACAGTCCAGCAAGGTATTTCAAAATGATTTGGTAGTTTTATTTTTTGATGTTTGCAAATGTTGTATTTTCCCTTTAAGTGAGATTATGACTTATATGATTTATAAATGACAGGTTATCGTTAAAAAAAATACAAATAATTACTATAGTAGAAACAATGAAGTAATACAAAAATGTACAAAAGAAAACTACAGACTATTCGTGCTAAGCCATTTTATCAGTAGAGTGCAGGATGTCAAGAGTTTGCTTCTGCCCGCCACCTCCCGGCCCTACCCCACGAGCGAATGCCCCTCCTTTTTGATGATTTCATTGGATACAGTCAGTCACATGACCAGTGGCGTAGCCAGGAATTTTTCAGTGGGGGGGGGGGGGGGGGGGGCTGGAACATTTCATGGGGGGGGGGGCGTCATGTAGATCAATGATAATTTTTTTAGAAACTCAAAATCTCAGTGGGGGGGGGGGGGCGACTGGAGGGCGACAAGGTTTCATGGGGGGGGGGCTGTCGTCCCCCCCCCCCCGTGGCTACGCCACTGCACATGACTGATGTAAAAAAACCTCTAGACTGGTTCCCCGACCAAAAGATTCTGACTATTTTACTGCTATCGAACCTTAGGTCAAGTAGCCCTCGCGGCTAAAAATAATACATGATGCCCCTTTCCCAAAGCTCGGTTTCGTTTCAGGTTGGGCTTTAAGTTATAATTAAAAGCTTTTAAAGTTGGTATATACGTGTTTTTTCTTTCTTTTCCGAACGAAATTTAAAGGAATATAATGTCCTGTAACAAATAAATTTGCTTGTTTGTTTTTGCAAGCCTTTATACGGTTTTAAAAAGTGGTTTTAAATGGCGCGCTGCTGTTCAGAAATTGCACACACTATTAAGAGCGTCCCGCTCTTGATTCAAAAGTTGAAATTAATTGATTGATTACTTATCGCTGGCCGATTTTTTTCTTGTGACGTCTCATTAATTTTGCAAGCTCATAACTAATGTAATGCTAGAAAATTATCAATTCAATTTGAAAATCTATTTTTCAAGGTGCCACACCCAAAAAGCTCGTATACACCAACTTTAATGTTCCGAACTTCCGATCAAATTAAAAAAAATCACTTGCTTCATTATATCACAGTTTGATATTTCTGTAAGAAAACATTGACTAATGTTGAGCTGGAATCTTCAAAGTTAGGGGCCCACAATAGCAGGCCAACCCCGAAATGGAGACGACGCCGATTTTTTTGAATAACCCTAGGTAACCGTGTTCAGATTAAAAATAGTACATGACACAACAAAGCTCGTCCCTCGTACTATCGATCCGAGTGCATACTTGATGCACAAAGTCATTGAATTGCAAGGTTTTATTTTAAATGCAAGCAATGAATATTAATTTTCAACTCATTTTTTGTTTCATTGTTAATAAGCATGGCAGTGTAAATAAAACCTGTTTTGTACCCAAAAATACCTGGGCCCTATCTGAGAGTATCGACGAAATGCATTCGGCAAACTTTGGATATTTTCGGAAACGGGAGGAGAATATGTCAGAATCTTTTGGTCTGGGAACCAGACTAAAAACAACCCAATCAGCTTCGCTTTTGGTTTTCATTGGATACATACATTCAGTCACATGACTGATAAAATACCCAATCAGCTTCGCTGTACTTCCAGGCCGATATCCCAACGTGTACCGTTTGGACCACGCGGCCGTGGAAGCTTCGTGCGTTCCACTCCATCAAAACCCTACCGTCTTTCGTGCCGTCTTCCCCGCCGACTCGCACCACACCGGCCCCGTCGTACTGGACCCAGAAACCGCGGTATTCTTTGGCGCTGACCATGTCATTTTCATAGTGTTCCACCTGAACCTGTCGCCAGTCGCACGTCGGGAGAACAGTCCAACAGTCTCGGATTAAGCTTAGGGTGTTAAGTCGTGAACCAAGAACTGAAAAGAGGGAAATACAATGGACAATTTCCTCTTTGAAACTTGACCCCAAAGTCCAAAATTTGCTGTTTTCCCCACTATTTTTTGTGAGAAAATAAAATCAAACTTTATTTTATAAAATTTTAACATTTTATGATCGATTTTCCCCTCAGATTTCAAAAATAAAATTCTTCTCTTTTTGTTCTTTGGTTTGACAACGAGTTCAAAATTAGATAGGAAGCGCTATTTATCTGCACTATGGTTTATTTTACATTACTGAGGAGGAGGAATTATCATCCTGCACTGGCGCGAAATTATGGTCCATCCGAAATTTTCGGAATTTGTCTTGATATATACTGCACCGGCACCCCTTCTCAGGGGTCACACGGGCAGGGTTGGTTGTGCGCATGGATTGGATTTTTTGCTGTTTGCTTGGTCGACATATTGGTTTCTTCTTTCTCACAGATTTTTCACTATTTTTTTCGTCAACTCGCGTTATTTCTCGTGTCAATTCTCACCTATCACAGCGAATATGGATTCGTCTGTACTGCCCTCTCCCAATGCAATAATCGCGTTCTGCGCGGCGCGGACTATGAAATGAAAGTAGAAGGGCGTAGCTAGCTGCGAGAGGATGGGGGCGTTGGTGTAGGGCACACTGGGCCGTGTTTTGAAGAAGCAACCTGAGGAGGGAAACGGGGGAAAAAAAACAATCGTTTTTCATTATTTGTTTTTTTTTGGGGGGGGGAACGTCTGCAAACCTCTGAATAAAGGTTTTTGTTCACAAACAGATCCGCTTTGCGAGCAGACTGGCTCCCGGTTCGTACATTATCGATACTGATTGTGGGGCGGGAACTAGCCTACTCCGCGAAAACGAGAATTATTGTCTGGCAGCCAACAATTCGAAATTGTAAAGCAATAATTCGATAACTAACTATGGGCTGATTTGTTTCGGTCGATGTCTCATCCGAAGGTGAATAACGTTTTGCTAGAAAAATAGAAAATTTGAAATTAAATCTATTTATTTCGGGAGGAAACTTGAAAATAGCCCGAGGAGTGCATCTTTAAGGTAAGGTGCTCGATAGTCCAAATGTATAAGTTAAAAACCAAATGACGTATTACATAGGCCAAATTAAAGAAACGCATACAAATACTTACAAATGTACTTACAAATGTATCCTGCCTAAAAAAAAACCCTGAATTGTATATTATAATTTGTTAACTCAAAACAAATAATTTTGATGTAGGAAAGCTAAAGAGTGGACCAGGATGTAGAGTTGGAATGTTTGTCGAACTGAAATTATTTTATCGAGATTTTTCTGAGGGATTCTGAAGGTCTGAAAGTGCTTTTATGATCGTTTTTCCCCACGCCTGCTTCACTGTCAACATGCAAAATTGCGATGCGGTCTCTTCAAAAGAATAAAATTGCTCTTTACTGGTTTTGTCACCAAATCTGCACTTCATGTTCCACCGGCAAGTTGCAATGAAAGCTGCGATGACTTGTGCTCCGAGCTGGTCCGTTGTTGCGGTCGGTGATAGCGCTTGTACTCGGACACTGCAAGTCCTTACACCTGGGAGCATTGCAGACGAAAGTCCAACACTATATTGCACTAACAGCCATAGAATCACGGCGCACCTTGCGAGGATGTCGACGTCAACGCGCGACATGGCGTAAGATTCAGACTGATATTAGGACTTCAGCTTCTTGTTATTCTCCAAACCACGGAGCCTATTTTATAGCTCCATGCCCAGCACTCGTCCTTCAGATGAGCTAAAAAAAGAAATCCACTCTTGATTTGAAGGATAGCGAAGCGAGACCGTGATCGAACCAACCATTATTTTGCCGGTGTGATGACGTTCATGGCCAACTGATTTTATTGTTTCATTTCCGCTCTTGGTCCTTGGTTTGTCGAATTGCAAGAATGAGTGTTAAATATTCCAATAATAGGCGACTTTGGTGTACTGCGCATGACAGTGACGTACGGGGGGGGGGACTCCTTTTCCCCCTAACTGCTCAATTAAGGAGGAGGCAAACATATTAGCTTTCTATTGTTTAAAACCCATCGAGTTCCCCCTCCAGAAAATGAGGCCCCCAATGCCCCCCCCCCCGTAAATTAAACCCTAGTAACGTCAACGGTTATGGTTTGACGGTAACAGATTATTTGTAGCATGCATCAACTGCTTATTTTCAATTGTCTCGTACATATTGATTTTTTTTGTGAGTACCTGTATTTTTTCTTGATTGCCGCCTCATCAAAATCAATGGTGGTATTAACGGACAATGGTTGTGCGTGCGAGATGGGAGTAAATGTGCCACCTACGAGGAGACGAAAACAATGCTTCCCTGAAAGTTGCTCTACCATACTCTACATACTTTTTTTTTCTCATGTCGATATTTTAACTTGTATGATTTATTCAAACGGTAAATGGTATTTTTTTGACGTGTTCAGCCCTCTTGAGTAAATGTTTTTATTTGGGTTTTAAAATACACCATTGCAATAGTTTTAGTGGCAGTAAAGGGCCCGTGCAATGTTATTTTTTAATGCAATCCTTGAAAATGCACCTGCGTGTCCCATTTAATGTTATTTTCATTTTGCCATTTTGAAGGGTATTTTGGTGCCTTTTTGGTTGTTATGCTAATGCAAAGTTCCATATTCATGAGCAAAAGTGTGATGTCATTTCAGGCAGTAACCTCAATGTTACAGCACAGAATTGCGTATATATATCACTGTCGTAAACTTTCTTCTTTTAGTGATTCGTTGTGTCAGTATACATGGCAGTAAGCCAACGGGCAAACTTTTCTCACAGATGTTTTCAATGAGCAAGGTTTTGGGTTCACAATTTGAACAGAAAACACCGAAAATGAAAAGTGTCTTCCTGAAATGACATCACAGCAAAAATGCCCTCAGTTGTCTAGAAAAGCATGGAATTTTGTAAAAATGCTAAAAGAAGAGCACTTTTCAGTATACCAAAAAAAGGATGACAAATAGTTTCCATACATTTAAGAGGATTAGAAAGTTGCACAAATATGTTCCTCAGAAATATTCACTTCGTGGCCCTTTAATCCGGCTTTGCAGCAGATCCAGATGTTCCATTCCCAGAATATTGAATGCACTTGAAACCAATAATCCTTCCTTTGAATGATTAACATTTATCTGAATATTTTGCGAATTATATCATTAAGTTAGATAATGGATAGACGTTGGCGTGCAAGGTGCTATACAATCTGTCTAAAACAGGTGAATTTCTTCCTGAAAATTAGTGGGACTGGAACCAATAGTTTCTGCGAAAGGTTGTTGATGTTTTGCACAGGACACAATGCTGGTTTTGGACTTAAGGTCAGAGCAAATGCGGCTTCTGATTGTAATCAGTTTCATCCTCAACTTTTCGGGTAAGTCTAACTTAAAAAAAATTGAAAAAGCCCTTTGCCAGTTAGTTTATCCATTCGTCCCATCTCGACATTCCTACATAGTCCCTGAATTATGTTTTTAAATAGTAATTCCTGAAATTGTTTGCTATTTTTTTTTTCAAGTCATGAGTGGATAGGACTTGTAAAGTGTTATGTAATCGATTCCTTTTGTCTTAAGATGCAATTGATTCTGGTTGTGGCGGACCGAGGAAACTGACAGAATTGACTGGCACCCTGTCCTCGATGAACTACGGCCACGCCTCCAACCCCTTCTATGACAATAATGCTCTCTGCTCGTGGTATATTCAGGCTCCTACTGACTGGGTAAGGCAGGGAAACCAGTTGATAAGCAAAACACTAAAGAGCTCCCTGCATGCAGGCACAATTGCACTTCTTAACATTTTGACCTTTTTTCCAGTCAAAACATTTTCAATAACGCTTTTCTTTCTACTAATTGTGCACCTCTTTTATTCTGAGGTTTCATTGTGTAGGATTTGGTGCTCGGTCATGCAAGTTGGTGGAGTAGCGCAGTGGAGAGATGTTTCGAGTGGGGAGAACATAAATCAAAAAATTCTCAAATACCTTGATCAATCCGTCAAGCAGGGTGACCGTAAGGTCAGAGCCAAATTCTGCTAAATTTGTCAGATTTATCAAAAATCTGCCAAATTCCCCAGAATTACTCGAAATACACTATGAACACTTAAAATCACATGCAGATTGGTAGTATTGACTTCATTAAGGTTCAAATTACATTATAAACAATCTTTAGTCACATAAAGATGTTATGAAATTATCGCGTAAATTTCGGGCAAAACGCAGATTCGGCCACGACGAAGTCCATTTCCCAGTTAACCTCAGCACCTAGACCAGCCAACCTGTCCCATTATGCAAGGGTTTGTTGAAAGGATTGAAGCTTTTTTAAACAAATGTACCATTTGTTGTTCAAATTTGCTGTTTTTCTGTCAAATTACCATTTTTGCAGAATTCTGCCAGAAATCTGCCAAAAAATCCATTCTGTCAAATTTTCTGTCAAACTCATCTTTTTTTACAAAAATTCTGTCAAAGTTAACCTGTTACAAGTTCTTCTCAGAGACTTCAAGCCCACTTCTCTCTGAAAAAAAATAGCAGGGATTTAAATCCTCCTGCAGTTGATTTCAAGCTTTTTCCAAATTGTAAATAACATACTAGTACATGCGCGTATGCTTTTCCATTATACCTCACATTTCAGTCAAAAATGTCAGGGTCCACTTAGGCCCTACATCCCTGAATGAAATCTTTCATGGTGTTTTTACCCTAATGCTTAATTTTAACTTCTTGTTTTTATCAATACACAGATCATCACACTGACGTTTGAGTACATGGACATCGAGCCAAGTTTCCGTTGTACGGCCGATTACATCGTCATCCACGGCCCGTGGGCAGACTACGTAGGGGGTCCCCCTCCCGCCCCTATCTGTGGGACCAGCCCCCCTCCCCCGATCCAGGCAGAGAAAGACGAGTTGTACGTGGTCTTCGTCTCGAATGAGAACTTTGCTTACACAGGGTTCATGGCCACATACGAAATCAAGCCTCCACCGTGTGAGTACAAATACACAATAAAACCTCATTTTAGTGAGGGCACCTTCAGAAATAGTGCCCCTGCTCAATGCGGCCAACACCATCTGATGCATGTCCCATACACCACCTTTTCACTGTGGGCTTTGTCTATTGTAGCCGCCTGCCTACATGCGACCATCCGTTAAATGCAACCACCTATTTTGGTTAGGCCTACCTACCAATTTTTTTGCTGGTACTAGAAGGCTAGCCTATAGACCCAACCTCGTCCCCAGTGCTTACTTTATTTCCAACGTTGTTTCCAATAGTAAACCCTGGATAGGAAACTTCCTTCCTGCATCCTGATTCGATACCGCAATTGGCTAGAAATGGATTGATATCGTGTACTTGGTGTTGTTATTCACAACGTGCAGTACGTGTTTTCGCGATCATTCGTCCACGCCTTCTCGAAAATATTCATTTCCTTTCCAGTTTGTTAATATTAATATGAAATGTGATACTGCATGTTGTCTCGTTAAGATCGTAACAGTTTACTTAAAATAAAATCATGTTTTCGTAACTCACGCCATGCTCACGCTGCGACGAATTGATTCTGTTTTTGCCCCAGATACAAGGGCGGATCCAGAACACAATTTTTTTTGGGGGGGGGCCAAAAAAAATTTTGGTCCCCCAAAAAAGTGGGTCTAAAAAATTACGGCGTGGGGTTCGGGGCCCGCTTAAGGGCCCCGAAAATTTTGTGGATTCTAGATGCTCTGTGGTGCGATCTGAGGCAATTTCTGACCACTTTAACCAATTTATTTTGAGGAAAAGATGGTGGTGTACTCATTGCCTGCCTTTATTACGATGTCACATTAAAAAAAAAAAATTGGTTTCTTTTTTTTTTGGGGGGGGGGGGCCATGGCCCCCTTTGGCCCCCCTCTGGATCCGCCCTTGCCCAGATACCGCATACAAAAAACAAACGCAAATGTAACGCACAGGCAGGCACCAGATTTGCATACGTGTTCAAAAATCTTGCACATGAAAATGATCCAATACCAGGGTGAGAGAGCAGCGGTAGTGGTGGGCGCGTACTGCTCGACACCCTGGGGATGAGGTTGCTATAGACCTTTATCATGCTGCCACCATTTCAGTCATGTTCCCTCTATCCAATAACAGTACTGAATAATAACTTTTTTTGTGCAAAAAGGAACCAGACTGTTTTTTCCTTCCAGCCTCGCTTTGGTTACGTTGATTTGAATTGGGAAAAAATCAAGATGGTCGCAACATGATAATGGTCTATAGTGTTCTCTTTATACCTGACTGACTCACTGATTTACTGACTGACTGATTGGCTGGCTCCCCGGCTCCCCCTGGCTGGCTCTGGCTGGCTCTGGCTGGTTCTGGCTGTCTGTGAGCCGGGCAGTGCTATCATATAGGATCACAGGTAACAACAATGAAATGCCTATTTCATGTGTAGACCAGATGCATTAAAATACTTCCACTGAATAACCATTCTAAATCAATTGAATGGGGATGTTGCCGTGCTCTGTGATCAGCTTGCCTAATCTTGCTTTTGTCCGGATGAGCTCTAAATCTCAAGCCCGTTATATTGGCATTATTGCGGCCACTTCTGTATCATAGAAACCACGGTATACGCAGATCTTATGCATTGCAATCTTTTGGGTTTTTTTGGGGGGGGGGGGGTTCGATGGAAGAAAATAACGTCAGATCAAAATTCGTCTCAGCAAATATGAAGCTCAAAATTGTGTTCAACGTCTTTATGTATAGCACTCACTTTCGAAGATGCCACTAACTCGAAAAGCGTTTGCTACTACTGCCTGAGTTTTCTTTTCATCAACAAATTTGCTGAAAAGAAATTGAAAAGCCGCTTTTGTTCCTAATGCCAGCCCCTACCCCGCCCGAGATAGCCAACTCTGGATGTGACAACCTCAGATATCGCGAGGGGCCATCGGGAACGATAACCAGCATTGGTTTTGACGAGAACTCGCCGTACACGAGTGACGCAGAATGCGAGTGGATCATTACTGCAGCGGTTGGAAAGGCGAGTTTAATTTCCAAATTTGACATTGATGCAAATCTTGATGATCTGTTCTACAAATAGGGGGCCTATAGATGTACATAGCAATCAATGTGGGAATGACAAAATATATTGTAAATTATTTACCGTCGGACCAAAAGCATCAGCGGAGGACCTCAAATTCAACACCTTAGCCCGCTCTGTTTAAAGGGAATGTACAACATTTGCTTTTGCTGCAATTATCAGAAATGAATGGATTTGGAGGATAAGTACGTTATTGCAAATATTGTTACACTGACTTGTTCTACATTTTGGGCTTGTAGATGCCGGAGAAACCATAAAACCCAATCATGTTCTTGTAGTGTGGTTCCCTGACCCCACTTAAAATGAAACGGAGCAATTTATAAACATTGGGGAATTGTAAGGTCAGAGAATCAGTCTATAGCAGGCTTGTACCCCTTCACAGGTGTGTAATCAATTGCAAAGAAAATGCGGAATAACTAAATCTGAAAAATTAGGAGCAGTTTTTGATAAAAAGCCAGTTTTCTCCAACGCTGGTCGGCTGACTAGCGTTGGAAAAAATATTTTTCTTGAAAATGTCAGCACACCATGGAGCCACGATTTTACAGGATGCTTTAGACTGTCATTTCCTAGCAGTCCAGTGGGGTATTTCGTGATAATTTGATCATTTCGTTTTTTTGAGGTTTGCAAAATGTTGTATCTTCCCTTTACAGAAATTACTAGATTCTTCAATGAATACCAATTCCTTATTATCGAAAAGGTGTTTCATAATATACCCCTTCTAGTTACCATAGGAACACTAAAAAATGTCATTATTCCGTATCATGGCAAGCTACAATTTTACCTTTGACATCACTCTATCACGTGACAGGTCATCACTCTGACTTTTACCTCGTTCGATGTGGAAGGGGATGAGCTCAGCTGCAGATACGACGCTCTGCTCGTGTACGACGGCCCGAATGATACCTCTCCGTTGCTTGGCAACTACTGCGGTAACCAGGGTCCGTCACCCGTGACGTCATCCCAGCACGAGATGTACCTGAAGTTCAGGAGCGATGGTTCCATCGAAAAGTCTGGCTTTTTGTTGAGTTACTCTGAAGTACAGCCTCCATGTTAGTCAATAATGGTCTTTATTATTTTATTGCAACTCCAGAGCATTTCGATGTTGATAGTATTGTGTTTCTTCATTGTGTATGTCACAGCGTACAGCTTACTTAAAGCGTCCATGCGAGGTTTTTTTTTAATGCAATCCTTGAAATACACCTTTTAATGGTATTTTGGTGCCTTTTTTTGGTTTTTATGCTAAAGCCAATTTCAACAATCATGAGCAAAAGTGTGATGTCATTTCAGGCAGAAACCTCAATGTTACAGCTATTTCAGCATCAAAAGTTGCCAGAATTTTGGATGTTTTGCTGTGGTAAATGTTCTTTTCTTCGGCGATTCACTATTGTATCAGTACATGGCAGTAAGCCAATGAGCACCATTTTCTCACAAATTAATGCTCTCAAAATGAGCAAATTTTGGGCTCACAGTTGCAACAGAAGTAAACTGAACCGTGTCTCCCTGAAATGACATCACAGCAACAGCGCCCTCATGTACAGTTGTCTAGAAAATTATGGAAAATCTTACATGTTTAAAGACGTGCACTTTTCAAAAACAAATTACTAAAAAGGGATGTCAAATAGTTTTCATGTAGAGTAGCAAGTTGCACAACATGTGTTCTTAAGAAAAAAAGTCATCTCACGAACACTTCTACAGTCATGGTTGTAAAACTTAGTGGATTTGTCTTTTTCAAAACAATTTTGGCCAGACATATCGAGCAGTATACTTTCAGTGCGCGGCATCGCAACATTTATGTTGTGAAATAACATTAAACAATGTTGTACAAACTGAGAATTGCACTTTATTAAGAACAAGCATGATGCATGCACATTATAAGATTGTAGTCACGTCGGTAGTTTCACGTTAAATTTTCAGTTTATATTCTGTCTTTTGCTAAAACAATAAACTAATTTAATGCCAAAACTCTCAAACGTTTTTTTTTTTCACTGGTAGTTACCTGTTCTGTTGGCGCATTCCAATGTGAGAGTAGTGATATCTGTCTGGATCGTAGTGTGTTGTGTGACGGGCGGAAGGATTGTCCTGATGAGAGTGATGAGGCTGGATGTCCAGGTAATACAAATGACTTCCTTTAAAGTCTGTGACTGGTTTTAGGTGACTTATATTGTGTATCGCAAGTGATTTCTTATATGATTCAACTCGGCTTTTCAGGGGCACGTTGCCAGTAAACTTCGCTACCCGAGAAAAAAGGGGCAACTTTCTATAATAATAAAACAATCATGTAATTTTGTTTCCCTTCGTCTTTGTAATTTTTCGCTTACAGTGAACGACCCATCGTGTGGGGTACCGGTCGTAGACCCTGACTTCGCTTCTATCAACATAGTGGGAGGGGGACCAGCAATTCCTGGCGCCTGGCCATGGCAGGTAGGCGTCTCAGCCCTCTTCATTAGTCAATGTACATTTAAGAAAACTGAAATTCTAAAAATACTGATTTGTAACAATTATTCTCAACATCAGGTACAAGTGCGTAAGTTGTCATACGGCCAGGTGTGTGGAGCTACACTCATTAACGCTATGTGGGCCATCAGTGCAGCGCACTGCTTTGAACCGTAAGTTAAACCATTTTAAGTAAGATTTGAGGCTTTGCATGGTGGAGAAACTAATGAATGAAAGGTTTGCGGAAACACCACATGTGAATAATTTCTCAACTAAGAGAATGGTTCTGAAAAGATCCAGAGGTACAAACTCGACGTTCCGGTCAGTATGCTCTGACCGTCTTCAGGAGAGTGCCTAAACTCTAAGAAAGTAAACACTTAAGTAGCAATTTTGACAAAAGGTTGTAGGAAACGCCCCATTTGGCGTATGTGTTCCAAAAAAGCCAAAAAAAGCTGAAATTGGACTCTGGAGCCTAGCTGCCACAGCGTCGCGTAGTGCAGTGCATGCAGCGCATCAACGTGGGACCGAGTGAATTTTTCCATGTATTTAACCTTTTCTCCACGGCTGGAAAAGGATCTGATCAGCGTTGGCCTATGTATTTCTACCGTAGAATTTCTTCACAACTGGAAAAAGAGATTAAAACTACTACACGTGTGAAAATGTTTACGTGCCGTTTTCATCGACTTTTCATGGACTTTTTGGAAACTATAATACAAAAAAAGTTTTTGTTAAAAAATCGTTTAATGATAATTATTGTGGGATCGTTAAAAAATCTAAAATTTCTTCGGAAAAGTTAAAAAAATTAATTAAATCTGAATTCAGATAAAAATCTAAAACGTTTCATCTCTGGTGTATTACAATAAGACTTCCTGTTTCGTAATCATTACTTCATAATTTACACAGGGAGCCCCTTACAACCTCATACCGTCTCGTCCTGGGTCGTTACACCAAGAACATTCCAGAACCCGGGGAGGAGCAATCCATTGACATCAGGCAGATCGTCCTCCACGAGAACTACGAGCAATACACCTTCGATTACGACATCGCCCTCTTGCGACTAGCCAGACCAGCTGTAAGGACAGACTGGGTGGTACCTGGATGCCTACCGGGGAAATCACAACGATTTACGGACGGGGAGATGTGTCAAGTCACGGGATGGGGCCAGACTGAAAGTGCGCAATGGTCACGGTAGTCGGCATACGGACTATCGTTTTCGAAACGACTGGCTTTGGCTTCGTTTCGGCTTAATGACATTTTAGGCCCTGACTTCGGGGACTCCAGCTACATTTTGGTGCCTTTTATGCTTCGGGAACATTCAATCGGTTGATATGATGACAAAAGTTGGCATAATCTCGTTTAGTTTGCCTCTCAGTGATTCAGAAGTAGGAGGCGAAGCCGAAGCCGAAGCCGAAGCCGAAGCCAAGGTTTCGAAAACCCCCATGTACAACATCGACTTGACTCGATCCGACCCGACTTGACGATTTTCTCCCCCACTTGCCTTCGTTTGACTTGACTCATCGACTGCACGACTCAATCGATGAGCTCGACTAGGTCTCGCTTGACTCCATGCTATGTCACTTGAGTCTGCAGGACACAATATGACTCAACTGACTCAGCCTGACTAGTTGCTTGAACTTAATACTTTTGGGAACACATCTCAACAACGACTTAATCTAGCTCACATTTGACTAGATTCGAAATGAATTAGTTGAGTGGATTTAAATTGACTCATTTCTAAGGACTCGGCTTAACTCAGTCTGACCAGACCAGAATTGACCCAACTTTAACAATACCTTTTTGAGTCCCGACTCAACGCGACTCGACTCGACAAATATTGACCTGTATTTAAAAACCCCTAACTGACCCAGTTCAATCTACTCAGTTTGCCTCGAGCAATGCAAATCAATGTATTAATTTACCAAAATCAAAGATTTTCCCCAAAGCTGTCTAGTTAATTACTCAAAAAATACCAAGTTAAAAAGTAGGCTTATGTATTTGTTGGATTGTCATTGGTGTTTGTTTTTCTTCCTTCACAGACACTGGTTATGATGACATTTTGAAGCAAGCTGGAGTTCCTGTTTTCAATAGCAGAGTATGCAGCGATCTGTACAATGGTGGCATCACGTCACGAATGATGTGCGCCGGGTACCTGCAAGGCCGCGAAGATTCATGCCAGGTACAGGTTACCAAGGAAAACAAGACTGTTTGCGTAAAGTTAATTTTACCGGGCACCCGCAAGTATGGCTACAGTAAAAGCATATCTACATAGTACAAGTAATGCGAGAGAGCCAGCAAATGTTTTCTCGTGGTTAGGTGACGTTTTTATAGCATATACCATGTAAACTTTGTGTTCTTTCAACAGTGTTTTGTAACAAATTGTATCACGTGCTTAGTCAAAGACATATTTCCAATTTTTTTGCACAGTAAGTGAAAGCCAATCAGTGTCATCAGTACAAACTTTAAAAATATTTAAAGTTCGTTTTTTTTCTGAAACAGGTGATAAAAAAGAGTGATAAAAGTAGGTATTTAGCCTGTCCTTCGACTTCAATCCTTTAAAGCATTTTTTATTTACTTTTGCTATTTATGCTGGATGGTACTATCAGGCTTTTGTCTTGCACCTAAGCATGTCACAGACATCCAGAAAACTAAACACGTACACGTCATAAATTCAAACGTGGAAAAATTGGGTACAAAAGTGTTTAGAAATGTGTTTAAACTCTAATACACAGTTTTTCACAGTTAAAGAGGTCTAGCGCCTTGGGGTCGTGGAAAATCCTATTAAAATTGGAGGATTCAGACTGTTAGGGTTAAAGTAATGTGCAAGGGTTCCACCAGGGTGTTGTTCATGGTGACATTTAGTTACCACGGAAACAGACTGCGGCCATTTCTAAATATTAGTTTGAAACGCCATGTTAACGTATTGTATCCTATATTTATAGCTTGTCTAAAGGTAGTACATGTAGATCGAAATTAAACTTTCCCTGTAAATGTGTTCGTCCAAAATAATTGAGTTTCTTCTCAGATACACAACACGATTCAAGACAAGTTCAAAAGGAACCTTTAATCTTTTATTAACAGGGAGACAGCGGAGGACCACTGAATTGCCCAGGGGGTGACGACCGATGGTATCTAGCGGGCATCACCAGCTGGGGTGATGGGTGCGCTGACGCCAACGCGCCCGGGGTCTACACGCGCGTCACGGCGTTCGTCGACTGGGTGCAAGAGAACATCCTTAAACACCTGTAGTTTGAGTTAAATGCGATGTCATGGAAATAGGAATGGGAGGCATGCATACTTGGATAAATGTACCAATCAAGTGTCGGATCAAGGATTTAAAAACAAGTTCAGGATTTTTCTTCAAGGGGGAGGTTGATGCCAGAGCAAGGCGATGCAGTAAACGCATTGAGAGCACTGAAATAATTAATCGAGATTTGCAATATTGAGTAATGACATTATTCAGGGAATTTGAGAAAATTTAGGATAATTATTAAAAACGGTCAGTCAGAAGGAGGATGGCCACCCAAACTATCAAAGATCGGACAATTTCGTCAAAATGCCATTTACTTATAATTAACGAAACTCAAAAAGTAACCAGATAAAGTAATACAGATTTCACTCTCTTGCGTGATTTTTTAACCATTTAAGTTCTAAGCATGAACAGGATAAAACAACTGACATTGAATTGACTGTGAACTACAACTAAGATGCGTATACGTGCCATTTCCCTAATATTCCCCTAATTTAAACCGTCTACGTATGCTAAACATTACTTTTAATTTACACCAAAACCAAAATGTTAAGAAGTTTTGACTTTGTCGCCAGATTCCTGGGCTTTACAGCACAGCATCCAGTAAGCCCACACTGTAGCAGCAAACGTGAAAATCGTTATGCCAACACCAACGTAGATGACGTCCAACATATAATACTGCACGGTAGTCAGTGTACCCGCTGTAGATCGGAGGTAGGCACCCCCGTGTAGCATGGCGTGTTCTACCCAATGGCCGGCTACCTCCACCGGGGGTGCCACGTTGTGTTTCATGATGCCCGATATTCTTTTGGCGTTTGCTGCGTAACTGTGTAAAAGGATTGATAAAAGAATGCATAACAGAAAGGAATTTGTAAGGATTGTCTTGAAAGTCTTAAGTGTAAGCCTACTTTCAGTCTTAGTTATGTCAGCAGCTGAACTGCTGTTGAGAGGAACACTTTTTAACTGGAACCTTTTTAAATGGAATGTTATTAAGGCGTTCCAGAATAACGCTTTTGTATAGGGGCTCGTCCTATACACGCATGCACGAAACGGCTCGTTTGCATTTGGAAAATGGTTTGAAAGTAGAACGTTCAAATATATACAAAATAGACTCGTCATTTCGACAAGATTTTTGTAAAAGAAAATGCCAAGGGTTCGACGCGTACATCGGTCAGCATCTGCGAATAAAAGTAAACGCCAGCTTGTCTAGTTCTCTTCAGTTTCGTTATTACTTTTTCATTCAAGTCGAATTATGGAATTAGCTGTTTCAAATATACTCACCTCTCGTTGTTGAGAACGCGGACGGCTGTTTGGTGTAGCTTGTCTTCTGATAACTCCGGCAAGTTGACGGTCTCTGCCATGCCCCGCGTCTGGAGGCGAGCGGCACATTCGAAGTGTTCACCAAACAGTGGTATGGTCACAACAGGTACCCCGTGATACATGGCCTCTAGCATGCCGTTGATGCCCCCATGGTAAATCAACAGCCTTGTCTTAGGGTGACCTGATAAGGAATAATAAAAGTTTTTTTTATATATAAATGAAAAAGCAGATAGTTTTATCAACCGAAAAACGCTGAAAACAATATGGGTACATGTTGATATTAATTCGTCTATTGTAGCGCATAGGAGATTTTTGGTAATTTTCACTCGAAAGGCATGCATAATTATAGCGAAGGTGCCAGTCTATTTCAAACACTGGCCTCACTTCCAGCTGGCGTAATTTTTATTCCTAGGAGGGTTAGGGGCAATGTCATGAATAATTCATGTTTATCCATGAGAACGGACAATGGCATCAACAGCATTGTTGTTAGTTACTCAACTAGTTACAATACATTAAAGCATTTTAAAGAACGGTTGTCGTCGAGCTACCACACAGTAACCTAGTGGATAGCGAGATGAGCTATGGATACAAAGGTCCCTGGTTCGAATCCACATCGTCGCTGCTCATTTTCATCAGCTATTTTTCTTCTCCAAATTTATCACTGAGATAATTTTAAATTAAGGGGAAAATAGAACGAGAACCTAAGTCTTGCAATGATTCAAAGGAAAAACTGAATTATGCATGACATTGCCCCTAACCCTCCTAGGAAAAAAAATTACGCTTCCAGCTGTATATATGTTAATAATAGCTTGAGTCTTCGATTCGTGGTATGGTACCCGAGCCCTACGATCCTTATTGAGCATGATTTATATCATAGCCCCCAGCCAAAAATTAATGGTTATTTACTTAGTTTCAATCTGATTTCATAGATTTTTACTATTTTTCACCCACCGAGAACATCATTCTGAGATAGCCACGACACCAACTTGGTGTTCCCTCCCAGACTCTTCGGTGGTTTCCCGGGGTACCTCCATAGCACACGCTGCGGTAGCCTCGACAGTGCACCAGCTATCGTGTCCGCCATTTCTTCACTCATGACGTCAACCACGGAACCCAACGAGAAGACGACGACGCCATGTTTTCCAGATCCTTCGAAGAATTCCTCCAGCTCCTGCAGGCATTAATGTAGTAACGCAAATGAAGTAACATTAATACGATTTTAGGCGTTTAACTTCCATTTCTGGGTCACCGGTTCGATAAAAATCATGTATCAGTACTCTGATCTATAAAGTGCCTGCCATTAATTATTTACAAAATGTCAAAAACGTTGGATCACTTTTTATTACGAAGAGCCAAGTTCGCGAAAAGATAGCACGAGTTTAGCGGCAGTTTTCAGCTCTAAAATGCTGTTGTTTGACAAAAACGGGGCCCAAATAAGATATATATTTTTACGGTCCTTATACAGAATGATAGTCGGAAAATTCTAAACCGATTAAATTAATTACGCTCGACAAAAATACTACCAGTAGCATACAGTTTACAAGACATTGTCAGTCATAGATGATATGCAATTATTCCAATTTTTCGAATTTTCAAAGAATATTTCCCCGTTACATTATATTAATGTTTTCATTAATATTGGAGACACTGCATATATATACGGAGTCACTGAACTTCGTATAAGTGTCGCGCTTGTGTTCAGAAACGCATTGTCTGTTATGATACTTGCGTGTGCATTAGACGCACGGACATTATCATCTTAACTTAAAGATTGATCTGAATTGTAAATCAAAAGACAGAGAAAATTTTACCACCGGCAACAAACTCTGAACTTTGAGCGCCTTTCAAAACTGTTCAGATATTTCTTTCAACTAACTGTGCTTACAATATCAACAATTTGGATTTACGAAATGGAATGAATATGTTACCTTGCTGAGTGGTTGGGGTTCCTCGGCCGATAACCCACCCAGCATGATCGCATTTGGTGTGATCGCCCTGGAATATTCCATTGCGAAGTGCGTATTAGCCAGCCACAACTCCGCACTGCGTATGGTATCCCTCATGTTGAGGTCCGTACGGATGTTGTGCCGTATCTTCAGCGCATCGTACGGCCCCAACATGGGCCGATCCATGAAGACAGACATCGCAAGCCACGTCACTGCGTTCCGGAACCGCTGCCAGAACGTCATGGAGTCCGAGTATCCGCTCATGCAGAGCGGCACATAGGCGGGGTTGGTCGGGATGTCGTACCAGCGGTCGTGCAGGCCTGGAGTCAACGATGCGGCTGTGATGATGACGAATCGTAGGGATAACTTCTGAGCTACCAGAGCCATGCAAGGGTTGATGAAGTCAAGGGTCATGAGGTCAAACTGAGAGCCCTTCAGCCGCTCCATCAATTCCTCATCGCTAAGGAGAACATTGCACTCGAAGGAAAGATACTTGGACATGGGTTTGGTGGGTTTCAGCTCCTCCTGTTTGTCCTCTTCTGACTTCCATCCCAGCAATTTCCCGATCAGCAACTTCGCATACCCTTCCTGGCTCTGATAAGTGCTGTTGAGCGACTCCAGAGCGAACGCATCCCTCATCTTCACCACGTCTTGAGGAGTGTACGGCGAGTTGTAGACCTGGAACTCGAACCAGTCGGCATCGCTGCCGTTGAGGCGATGTATGTATGAAGAACTGAGGAGGAAAGTGACTTGGTGTCCGCGACGGACCAGCTCCCGTCCAATCTTGGCGCTGAAGATGTAGTGAGTCTGATCAACGCCGGCAGACATGAGGATCTTACCGGCAAACACGCTGCAAATTTGGAAGAAAACTCCAGTCAGGACTACTAGAGATCGACCCGCCATTGCTGCACCGTGAATCCAAATGGTAAATGCGCCTCTATAGACTGAAATACCAACCAGCATCTTTTTAGCTTTCGTGAGCTTAAATCATGGTAATGCATGCCTGCACAAATCAATCCACCACATGCAGTCACTTTTATTTTTACTGGTAGCTAACAAGCTGTTCTTCGCTTTTATGTACCGACCGAGTACTGCCGAGTACCTAGGTTGCTGAGTTCGAGTACGAGTATTTGTGCTTCCGAGTACAAGAACAGGTCTCCGAGTACGAGTACTTGAACGTCCGAGTACAAGTACGAGTACTTGTATTCCAAGTATGAGTACTTTTTTTTCTGAATACGGCACCGGGTATATTGTGCTTGAAGCCTAAAATTATGTGTACTGTAATCACTTGTGATAGGGTTTGTCTTTGTATTGCAAATTACGAACCCTACCACAAGTGATAAAGCTTTTTCAATTTTTTTTTAAAGTTGATTTTTTTTTTTTAAATCGACAACAGCAGTCTCAAATCAATGTAAATGATTTTTTCCAAGGAAATGCTACACAGCTGAGATACGGACATGAACGTTTAGGTCAACTGTCATTTAATAAAAATTAATCTATACAGTGTTGTGCATTTAATTTTTATTATTATTATTATTAATGTATTTTCGGGTCCGTAGAATCCTCAGACTAAAAAGAATCCGCAAGTACAACAACTGAGCATTCAAATGGCCGAGAAAATATATATTTTTTCTACTTAGTTTCAACCTCTGTTCTTAGTGTTCTCCACTTTTCAGTGTTATTTAAGAAATTTGGGTTGTTGGGTTCGCTCGTACCCCCCGCCCTGCAAACAGGACGTACTCTGATGAGCTTCACAGAATCTTGTGAAGGAAATGGTCTATGACGTATAAACAGGGGCGTAGCACGGTAATTGTTATGGGGGGGGGGTAAATTTTTTTGAAAAGGGCACTTGCACATCCGTTGTAAAATGTAGACAGGTTTTTTTTCTCCGGACACTTGGCCTCCGTAAAATCAAAAATCTGTCGATGGGGGCGCTGTTCAAAACCGACAATTATTGATACATGTGCGCAATTCTGAAAACGGGCACCCAAAACGGCAGATGCCACACAAAAAAGGGCACGACTTCTTTTTGGAAAAGGGGACTTGGTCAGACAAAACGGCACTCTTTACAAATTATTGGGGGGTAAGCCCATTGAAAAAAAATGGCATTTGAATAGAAAAAAGGCAGTCTTTACACAATATTTGGGGGGGGGGGGGGGTAAATACTGGGTGGCGGTAAATACGTTTCCGTACTTTGGCAAAGCTTTTTACGCCAAAGTTTTCATGAGACTTTCATTCCCTGACACATGAGGGCGCTATTATCGCGCGCTGGACATGGGTAGGATTAGGCCTCGGGAGTTGTATTGTAGAGACGACTGGATAGTTCAGGCAATTACAGGTAGGTGGCCTAGTAGTAGTAGTATCAAAACACTTTTGTTTTACTTAATAAAAGTCAACGAAATGTATTGCAGTACTTGTACTAAATGCTAAGCGTCAAATGAAATGCTCAATGTGTGCTGTATCCATTTTCACGAAAAGGATGCGACACAATACAACACAACACACTTAGCATGCTTCAGCTTAGCCCCACTAGTGTGGCCGTCGGTATGCTGCGCTGAACCGCAGCATACCGACGGCCACACTAGTGGGGCTAGCTTCAGCTTAGTCTTGGTGCAGAGCATAGCCCAGGTTAGCCCCATAAATGTGGCCTATTTACTGGACTGCCTCCGTAAACATAGGCCACACATCCACATGTACAAAAATCGTGTCGACGGAGCCAAATTTTGATTTTCACATTTAGGCTTAGTTTGTAGGTTTTTTTTGCTTTAGAAGCATACTCACCCTCTTTACAGGCTAATCAGAAAGTGCTGCCTTTTTCAGATGTCTAATTTTTGTGAAATTTCATGTTGAAATTTTGATACGCAAACGTGTAAAAATGAATCTGGAAATTTCACGAAAAATATACATCTGAAAAAGGCAGCACTTTCTGATTAGCCTGTAAAGAGGGTGAGTATGCTTCTAAAGCAAAAAAAACCTACAAACTAAGCCTAAATGTGAAAATCAAAATTTGGCTCCGTCGACACGATTTTTGTACATGTGGATGTGTGGCCTATGTTTACGGAGGCAGTCCAGTAAATAGGCCACATTTATGGGGCTAAGCCCAGGTTAGCCCCATAAATGTGGCCAATTTACTGGACTACCTCTGTAAACATAGGCCACACATCCACCATGTACAAAAATATGTCGAACTTTGTCAAATGTTGATTTTCACATTTAGGCTTAATTTGTAGTTTTTCTTGCTTAAGAAACGTGGTAATGGGAAAAGTTCCATACTCGGACGTCAATTTATCTGCTGCCAAACATATTAATTGTCACCTCACCTTGTCATTTGAACCAAGAGAAATCCAGGAAGCTGTGTTAAGGTGAAAAATTTTACTCAAAATGTGTTTTTAGAGCACATTTTGGATGCATACGTCCTGCAGAACTAACTTGAAGCAGCCGGTCAAAACTGATTGTAGTGGCTGAAAGACAGCGGTACGTTATACACGTGACATCAACAACCATGACGTCGCATGAGCCTGCCAATGATAGTGCAATACGTCATTATGAATATTTATTTTCTCATGAATATTTAGTTTATTTCAATGGATACTTCAAATACGTCCAAAGATTGATTATTGCAACAGCGATCGTGCGCGGCCTAGCGGTTAAGAGTCTCGTGTATCAAGCAAGCGTCAGAGGTTCGAATCCCGATGAAGTAACTGACTGATTAATAAATAGAAATTAAGGAAAGGAGAGGGTGAGAGTAGAGGAGGGAAAGTGGAGGAATAACCATAAATGATGTAACTTTTGGCGCTAGAAAATTAATTGAAAAAAGTGACGTCCGAGTACGGAATTTTTTCCGTGGTAATCCTTACTTTTAGGACACCTCTATTTTGTACGAGTTCTGTTCAAAACTGACTTTTGCAGATGACTGTCCAGTACCAAAGTGACTTTTGCAGGCTAAAGAAGTCTTTTTTCTTCAGACAAACTCATGTTACATGTATGATGTAGGCCTAGTTATAATTTTGAAAGCACTTTCAAAGAAAATGTGACTTTCCTACCTTTTTTTGCAGTTCGCCATCTTGCTTTTTAAATTTATTTTCTGTTTTTCATCGTCGTCTTTAACCCCTCATAAATCAAAACCCTGCCCTCTTTCTACAAAATCAAATCTGCTGATATTCAAGAGGTGTCATTGCCAAATGTTCAAATGTGTCAATAAATATCAGAATGTCACTTTTGAGTGTCATTTAGTCAGCTGTTTTGGTGAGTCTTTTAACCTTATATAGGAAAGGGGTCCTAAAAGTAAGGATTACCCGAAACATACTCACCCTCTATATAGGCTGATCAGAAAGTGCTGCCTTTTTCAGATGTCTATTTTTCGTGAAATTACCAGATTCGTTTGCACACGTTTGCTTATCAAAATTTCAACATGAAATTTCATGAAAATTAGACATCCTGAAAAGGCAGCACTTTCTGATTAGCCTATAAAGAGGGTGAGTATGCTTCTCAAGCAAACAGAAATGGGTCTGTCCACAGTAAATGTCACAACTGTGTGACATTGCTGGAGAAATTTTAACAACAAAATTCCCCCCTCTTTTTTGGTTTGTGTTTAACATCCATGTGTATGCTTGTTAACCAAGAAAGGCCAAGATAATTCAAAAAGTGTTTAAGAAGTTATGGCAAGTTAATCTTGAAGACATAACGTATGTCACAGGGACAGACATATTTCTTCGCTTCATCCTAGTTTTCACAAAATTACATATAATTCAATCACACTTGATATGGTGTCATTTACTACCCCAATGTTAATATTCAAGGAACTTTCAAAGAGACTGTAGTCTTTCTTCAGGATTTACAAGGTGGATGATGCAGAGAAAATCACGTTTGTCACTGGGACAGACAAAACAGCTTGAACGATTCATTTGTTTCTCGAAGATGACCTTTTTCATCACACCAGAGTTGTAAGTGCCCTAAAAATCCTATGCAGATTTTGTTTACGTTGGCCAGTCAATCTGTGATAACCTGAAAGTGAGAAATACTGACATGTTTTTGATATCATGTTTGTTACATGGACAGACATTGGGCGTCATGTTTGTCACATGGACAGACAAAACAATTTCTTAGTTAATTTTTTTAGAAAATAAATTATAATTTTAACATTAAAGGCCCCTGTAAACTCCTATTTCCAATCTCTTAAGACTAATCAACCCACATAATTAAATTACCATGAATAAATGCTGACGTGTATTAAACATCACGTTTGTCACATGGACAGACATACATGTATTGTGTATAAAATTTCTATCTAGAAATAAAAATGTGACTGATAATTACCCAAACGTTTTAACTATTCTCTCAAGTTAATTTGTGATCATTTTATTTGCATAAAGACTACTTCAATAGATGAACAGCGTGTAATTTTGTTTCAATGAATCACGTTTGTCACAAGGACAGACTCATTTATCATGTTTGTCACATGGACAGACTTTTTGTGTTTTAAAGTCAAATTTAAGAATGAAAACAGTATTGATCATACATGTAAGCCAATATTTTTCTAAATTAGTTTATAATAATCTTAATTACATAAAGACTTACTTTATTTTAGATGAACACCATGTAGTTTTTGTTTCAACGTTTGTTACATGGACAGACATGTGCATGTACACTATAGTATCACGTATGTCACCTTCCTGGGAGCTGAGGACAGACGATCTTCTCAATCTCTGTTCAACAAAATGGACTGACTTCTAATAAAAAAATTATGGCAGTTGTATTGCACATACCTTTGTTATCAATGTATGTGCACTCATAAGACTAGTCTTTAAAGATTTTTATGGTTGGCAAGAAATTAAATCATGTGACATACGTGATCAAAAATGGACAGACATTTGTATTTCTTTTACATGGATCCGTGTTTTTGTTTCTAAACTGAACAAAAAGCCACAAAAAATTATATGCATTAAAGGTGAGCAGTTTCCTCAGCAAAATGTACATGTTTTGTTGAAGTTAGCTGTTGATAACATGGAAAAAACAGCATGTATCACATTTGTCACTCTGTGGACAGACGCCGTGACATACGTGATTGCTGAATTTTCTGCATTTAAATTCCTGTTTAAACTAATTTTAAAAAAAACATAGAGCTTTTGATTTCAACTTATATCTCATCTATAACATTTTCAGTACCCATGAACTGTTTTTTCCCTCATTTTAATGCCTATTTTACATAACCTGAAAAACATGAGTACACACAGTTATATACATGTCCCACCAGGACTCCCCAAAAAAAGCTGGACATTTTTATCAAATTTCTCATTATTTCAACAACTAACATCCAAATCCTTTATTATTATGTACACTATATCTCTACTATTGAATGACTACTACTACAATCATTGAAGTTTATTTCTTGACTTTTAACATGGTTTAAATGAGAGCTATTTTTCATGTTGTGCAGTTGTGACATTTATTGTGGACAGACCCAACTACAAACTAAGCCTACATGTAAATGTGAAAATCAAAATTTGACAAAGTTCGACATGTTTTTGTACATGGTGGAAGGGAAAAAATTCCATACTCGATCGCCACTTTTTTCAATTAATTTTCAAGCGCCAAAAGTTGCGTCCTGTATGGTTATTCCCTCCACATTCCCTCCTCTACTTTCATCTTCTCCTTTCCTTTACTTCTATTTATCAATCAGTCACTTAGGCCTACTTCATCGAGATTCGAACCACGGACTCTTGCTTGACACACGAGACTCTTAACTGCTAGGCCGCGCACGATTGCTGTTGCAATGATGAATCTTTGGACGTATTTGAAGTAGCCATTGAAATAAACTAAATATTCATGAGAAAATAAATATTCATAATGACGTATTGCACTATCATTGGCCGACTCATGCGACGTCATGGTTGTCGATGTCATGCATTGCTGTTGACCGGCTGCTTCAACTTAGTTCTGCACGATGTGTGCATCCAAAATGTGCTCTAAAAACACATTTTGTCAAACTTTTTTTTCACCTTAACACAGCTTCCTTGATTCCTCTTGGTTGAAATCAAAAGGTGAGATGAACATTAATATGTTTGGCGGCAGATAAATTGACGATCGAGTCTGGAATTTTTCCCGGTGGAAGTGTGGCCTATGTTTACGGAGGTAGTCCAGTAAATTGGCCACATTTATGGGGCTAAGCCCATGTCCAAATGTAAAAAAAGCGATCCGTAGAGTCCTTGTTACTCGGACTAGGCTAATCAGAAAGTGCTGCCTTTTCCGGATGTCTAATTTTCATGAAATTTCATGTTGAAATTTTGATATGCAAACGTGTGCAAACGAATCTGGAAATTTCACGAAAAATAGACATCTGAAAAAGGCAGCACTTTCTGATTAGCCTATAAAGAGGGTGAGTATGCTTCTTCAGCTAAAAACCCTACAAATTAAGCCTAAATTAGTCCCACTAACTGGGGCACTAGAACTCCTTTTTTGACATTTGGGATGTTGGTCTTTCGTACTAGCGTCCCACAACGGAAATATTGTCAAAGTGACAATGTCAAAGTTCACCACAAAAATCACGCAAAATACTTGACAAAAATGAAATCACAAGGTGAGGTGAAAATTGATGTGTTTGGCGGTAGATAAAGTGGAGGCCTTGTAAGGAAAACTTTCCAAACAGTGCCCTCTTACATTTTTAAAAGACCCTTGTGTAGTAGAACTTCAGCTAAAGCCACTCTTTCCAACCAGCATGTCAAAGAAGAGTTGTAGGGTCAAAAGGTACTCGGACTTCCATTGTTTAAGGGTGACTGAAAGTGGCCTGATTTTCTTTTTCAGTGTCTGCTGACCCCTGAAGTCTGAGTCCCAGAAGTCTGCATCCATTCTGAGCTAGAGAGTCCCATCTTGCTCTAAGATGCCAACCATCATTGGTTTTGAAGGGAGCGCCAACAAGATTGGTATCGGGATTGTCAGGGATGGGGTTGTACTATCCAATCCTAGACATACCTACATCACACCACCAGGGCATGGTAAGGTTGAAAGACTCGAGAGGTTCAAACAACCTTTTTAGATTGTCAGGCAAAAATTTCATCTAACAGACAAAGGATTTTTGGCTCTCTGTTGTGTTTGATGGCTCAAAATTTATGGCATTTTTATAGGTTTTCTAATATTTACATAGCTGCTTGATTATTAACCCTACCCCCTGGAGTGAATTACTAGGAACCTTCCTCACTCCTTCAAATTCCAACACCGTACGGTAAACTCAACACCCAAACTGTTGGACTCTGATTATGGTGGTATGCCTGACCCCATGTAAAGCATAATCAGTTTACTAGTGCAGTACCCACTCCAACAGATTCCAACAAACCCTGGTGTTGGAGTTTGACTGGATGGGGATTGTTAGGGTTAATAAATGAGAATTTCTGATCTCCTAAAAGAGTCACACTTTTTGATAGAGGGGATAGTTAGTTAAGGAATTTGGTTTTGCTTAAATGTAATTGTTGAATGTATTAAGAGACAAGGCCAGTGGATTAGTACAGTATTGCAGCTGATATTTGAAGAAGTGTTTAAAGACGTAAATCCGATACATGTCTCTTTATGCTTAGGATTCATGCCACGGGAGACTGCCAAGCATCACCGGGCTCATGCTATCGAGATTTTAAAGAAGTAAGTGGACATGTGCGAAGTGTTTTGTCAGACAAAACCATAGAGCTATATTAAATTACTAGAGCGCTAACTCCTCATTCTTGCGCGCGGAGACGCTTTGAAGCCCCTCTAGGCGCAGACATTTTGAATTTATGTGCGTGTTTGTAGAAGACAATCAAAATAGATGGATTGAATTTTAAAAGTGTACTCTAAATGCAACGCGCAAGTAGAACATACGCAAACAACTTAAGCGCGTCATGACAGTTTAAAAAACGTCAAGGCAAAAAGCATCTGCAGCGGAGGGACGCGCACACATTGCGCTGTTTGCGTAGAGCAAAATGAAACGCTCATTTGCTGATTGTGCATTTCGGTTTTGGGCGTATCGGCTTCGATGACGCGCACCGGTATGGAATACAAACGCAGATATGCAAATAGCCGTACAAAAGCCTTACAAAATTTCGAGTTTTCCATAGGTTTGTGCACAAACATGGATGCGCCCATCAGGCATTACTTTGTTCATGTACATCGAGTTAGCGCTCTAGTAATCTAATATAGCTCTATGGACAAAACGGACACTTTGGGCAGCTGAACGAAGATGGGTTTTAAATATTAGTCCAGTGAGCATTGAGGAGGACCCTGACATGTTAGTTAACAGGCAAATTTTGGTGGCGATGTGTTTATTGGGACTCCAGCTACCTCCCATAAAAATTCAACCAAAATCAACAGTGGGGAAATATTTTATTCAATTAAAAAACAAAACGGGCGAACAATATTGAAAGGCATGTACATGTATCTGCAACACCTATAAGCGAAATCCACCCCCTTGAATAATTGGGAAAGGATCCCTGCATTTTTTCAAGCCGAACTGATATAAAATGACAATAACTGAATGAACCAACATTATTACGAAAAACAGCATTTTAAGAATGTCATTGTCGTCATTGTTGTCATCATCAAAATACAAAATGGCTACTGCCCCCAAAACTGTTCACAATTTCCAGAGATGGCCCTAGGGTAATAAATACCAAAAAAAAAAACTAATTACATTTTTTTTCTGACGAATACCATTAGCATGCGCAAAAAAAGGGGGAGGTATTGGGTCTCGCCCACCCCAATTCAGGCCTCAACACACCAAACCCCACACACTAGCACGTTTGTTTATGGTGTAAATCGAGAATTTTCTTTTGTTCCTCTCCCCTTTTCCTTTGTTTGTACATGTACCTTAACTTTTCCCGCAACATCTCTCATTGGTTTTGTACATGTTTTCCAACCGAAGAGTCCTCAATTCAGTTTCTGTCCTCGATTCATCGATGATGTTGTACGTGCGTGTCATCAATTTACACCATAAACACTCACTTGCTGGGTTGTGCATGTGTTTTTGAAGCCGCCATGCTCCACTGCCCTTACTGGAATCTAACCAACTTATGATGAACCTGCATTGGCTTAGTGTTGTTCCTACTTGGCATCAGTAATTGGGTCGAGGGCATTTCGGGCGCATTTTTAAGAGCTTAAAAATAATATTTCCCCACGGACAAAATTGGGTGAATTTTGTGTGTGTGTTAATGACAGCCATATAAAGGTTTCTGAGTGAAAACTTGGTTGTTTACTAACATGTCAGGGTTGTCAGTTCTTACCGGACTATACTGATAAAAGTGGAGATCTTCTCTCCAGTGATGGTTTAATGTTTGAAGTGTGGATTTTCCATGGCGAAATTAAGCCCATTGAAGTGTGGATGTCACAAAGCAGAAAACAGAAAATTTTATTAGGCATAGCCATCAGTACACAGCATGGATATGTACCAAGGTGAGCTTTGAAAATCTGAACATTGTATGTTATGAATATTCAAGTCTCTTTCCATAAATATGATCTCCCCATGTTATGACATCCCAAAATACGTTACGTTCATCCAGTGTGTCGTCCATTTCTTCATGCTTATAAGTGTGTCGTTATTGATCTTATACAAATTAAACATTGTCAACAAAGGCAGGAAAAACAATGGGATTTAGTTGCCATTGAAGCGAGACATTTTTCAGAGAGCAGGGTGGACATTTTGTTAAAGGGAAGATACAACATTTGCAAACATCAAAAAACGAAATGATTGAATTATCACGAAAGACCATACTGAATTTTTAGGGAATGACAGTCTAAAGCATCCTGTACAATCATGGCTCCCGGTGTGCTGACATTTTCAAGAAAATTTGCATTTTGCCAAGGCTGGTCGGCTGACCAGCGTTGGAGAAAACTGGCTTTTTTTCAAAAACTGCTCCGAATTTTCATATTTAGGTGTTCCGCATTTTCTTTGCAATTTATTACACACCTGTTAAGGAGTACAAGCCTGCCAGACTGATTCTCTGACCATACAATTCCCAAAGTCTATAAATTGCTCTGTTTCATATTAAGTGGGGTTCGGGGAACCAGACTACAAGAACATGATTGGTTTTCTTGGTTTTTCAAGCATCTACGAACCCAAAACGTGAAACAAGTCAGTTGAACAATATTTGCTACAACACACTAATCCTCCAAGTCCATTTATTTCTGAAAATTGCAGCAAAAGCAAATGTTGTACATTCCCTTTAAAACCAATGGTTTGGTTGCATTGGCAGGTGTATGGATGAGGCTGGGCTGAAACCAGAAGACATCGATTGCGTTTGCTACACCAAAGGTTTGATGTTACACAAATCATTTGTCTATTATATTGAATTGATGAACCGTGTAGAATAACAACCACCACAATTTACTGTGTCCTCCGTTTAAAACCCTACCTCCCTACTTACTTTTACTATGTAGAAGACCATGTCCGTCTATTAAAATCCATCACTCACTCTGCTTCACATAATGCTTAAACTTAAAGGGAATATACAACATTTGCAAACATCGAAAAATAAAAATAACAAGTTTTTACAAAATACCTTACTAGGATGTTGGTAAATGACAGTCTAAAGTATCCTGTAAAATTATGGCACCTGGTGTGAAGTCATTTTCAAGAAAATGGTATTTTTGTATACATTTCCAACGGTGATCGGCCGACCACCGTTGGAAAAACCTAACTATTTTTCAACTACTGCTCCAAATTTACAATTTTTTTCAGTCCAAATTTTGTTTGCTATTGGTTACATGTTCATGAACGGGTGCAGGCCAGCTAGACTGGTTCCCTTACCTTACAATATTCCAACATCTATAAATTGATCCATTTTATCTTCAGTGGAGTAAGGGAACCAGACTACTTAAACAATTTAGTTTTTCTTGGTTTGTCAATCATTTTCGAACACAAAACTTCAAACATGTCAGTTAAACAATATTTGATCTATTATACTAACCCCTCAAATAGTTCATTTCTGAAAATTACAGTAAAAGCCAATGATGTACATTCCCTTTAAGGACCAAATCTGTTGAAATCCACCACTGGTGCTGGTGGATTTTGATGGCTTTAAGGACCAAATCTGTTGAAATCCACCACTGGTGCTGGTGGATTTTGATGGCTTTAAGGACCAAATCTGTTGAAATCCTCCACTGGTGCTGGTGGATTTTGATGGCTTCAGGACCAAATCTGTTGAAACCCTCCACTGGTGCTTGTGAATTTTGATGGCTTCAGGACCAAATCTGTTGAAATCCACCACTGGTGCTGGTGGATTTTGATGGCTTCAGGACCAAATCTGTTGAAATCCTCCACTGGTGCTGGTGGATTTTGATGGCTTCAGGACCAAATCTGTTGAAATCCTCCACTGGTGCTGGTGGATTTTGATGGCTTCAGGACCAAATCTGTTGAAACCCTCCACTGGTGCTTGTGAATTTTGATGGCTTCAGGACCAAATCTGTTGAAATCCACCACTGGTGCTGGTGGATTTTGGACCAAATCTGTTGAAACCCTCCACTGGTGCTTGTGAATTTTGATGGCTTCAGGACCAAATCTGTTGAAATCCACCACAGGTGCTGGTGGATTTTGATGGCTTCAGGACCACATCTGTTGAAATCCACCGCTGGTGCTGGTGGATTTTGATGGCTTCAGGACCACATCTGTTGAAATCCACCACTGGTGCTGGTGTATTTTGATGGCTTCAGGACCACATCTGTTGAAATCCACCGCTGGTGCTGGTGGATTTTGATGGACTCGGTACACATGGTTTAATACCTGCCAATATTACCCAAAATGGGGGGGGGGGGGGGGAGGGGGGGGGGATGGATTCTGATGGGAGTTGGTAAGGTTAGGTTTATTGTGCAGAGATGCCAATTTTGGAGTAATTATTAGGATTTTGAGGCATGTTACTACCGTAATTTCCTGCGGATAAGACGCGTCTTATCTGACTTTCTAGACCACAAAAACATGGCTGCGCCTTATCTACAGGTGCGCCTTATCTGGTGTCGCTTGAGTTCAAAGTGACGGTCTTTGTGTGAAGAATTCTTTCAATGCCGCAATCAATAATGCGGTCAACCAAGGCTCAACTCTCCAGACATTGTGACTGTATTTTCATTCCAACAATGCCGCGATGTGTTGATCCCCCATGATCGTGCTTTCATTCCAACAATGCCGCAATGCGTTGATCCCCCTTAGTGATCGTGCTTTCGTTCCAACAATGCCGTCATACAAACGTTTTTCTTTGTGGCCGTTTTTTCATTTCGAAAATGCTGCAATCAGAATTACTTAAACGTTTGGAAATCGCATTCACTCAAGTTCTATTGTGTGAACGTTGAGGGTGTTTATTGTACAGGATATCTTCGAAGTCTGCAAGCCTGAAGATCAAGATGAAAACAGTGCGAGTCGGTAAAAGCGGCTCAGGAAAGCGTACTTCCGGCCCGAGCGCCATGTTATGCATACAGAGACCGCACGAACCTCAGTGCACGTGTGGCCGAACATTTTGTAGAAACACGCTGCGGTGTATCATCAAGTCCGAGCGGTAAAATCTCGTTAAAATATATATTTCAACGGACAAATACATACACAGAGAAGAGAGATCACGTTCTGAGAATTAATTTGCGGAAATTCTCTTTCTCCACCGATGTATGTTATTTTCTACGATCCAAATTCGTCCTGATATGCTACTGTAGTCATGCACGGAACATCATGGTCCGGTACCGTACGTAGGCCGTAGTCACTGGTTCCTGGCCCACATCATAGCTTCGATTCTGTAAGCATGCGATGGGAACCAACGAATACTGATGGCACTGCTGCCGCACGGAACATCGTACAGCGGCATGGCTTCGACGACGTGCATCACAAATGCGTCAGAATTACAGGCCTTTTCGTCAAGATTTAGCGTGTCAAGATGAAATAATATCGTGTAAACGATTATGTTGTGCATGCAAATGGCGTGTGTAATATTACTGTGCGTATCGGCGGCTGAAAATGTGATCGGCAATTTGTTTTCTGTGTACGGTGAGTAATTATACTGACACTGTGACAGCTCGGTTACTTCTCCCACGCGGTCTGGGTAAATTTTCCCGTGTCGAAAGTCCAAGTGCGGACAGTGGTCACATTTGACCATTTCTCATTTTACTATCGTCTCGGTAAAACCTTCCAAAAAAAAAGTCCAGTGCGGACACGGCTTAATTCATCCTCCGAATAGTGTGATCATTCTAAGGCAACACAATGGCCCCTTTGTGGCGATGTACCGACACCGGGTGACGCCTGGTGTTCTTCTGTGTGCGGTCAAACATGCGTCTTATGCGGCGGTGCGCCTTATCTGTTGGCGTTTGAATTTTTTTGGGGTGATTTTAGGGACCTGCGCCTTATCCGCCGCGCGCCTTATCCGCAGGAAATTACGGTACTCTTGAAAATTCCAGCTGTCCTATATGCCAACATTGTGGTTACTCTGAAAAGTACTGTGGTTACTCTTAAACTTGCCTGTTGTCCTATGTATTTACATTAGCATTACTCTTTGCAGGAAGAATCATTACTATTTTGTAGTCTGTAAAGTTGGCATCTCTGATTGTGTTTGAATGGAGTCCAATTTGAGAATGTCAAGAAAATTCCAAATTCTGCCAAAACTTGCAATTGACTTTGCTACCCTTTGTGATAATTATGGGAAACCTTTGGACGTTGCAAATGATAAGGTGTGCAAGACTAACATTTAATGTTCTCTTCTTTTTCTTTGGTTCAGGACCAGGTATGGCAGCGCCACTAATTTCCACCGCCGTTGTAGCAAGAACCATAGCTCAGCTGTGGGACGTTCCCATCATAGGCGTCAACCATTGCATCGGGCGTATCCTTAATCGTAAAACCTTACGCTCGGAATCCCTTGCATATCCTCCGAAATCCACCACTGTGCACGAAACCAGTGGCCTATTCCTTGTTCATGTACTTCCCAGTCAAGTGAGGTTGTTTTTCATGGAAGGTAATGGTGGCTAGCCAATAGACCAATCAGGGCATGATAACAATTCTATCACGAAGGCCCCCTTCAATGGCGAAAGCATTGAGCTAGCTATTGTTCAGATAATCCGTCACGGGGCAGTTGCTTTGTACAATAGCGTGCACAATGGTTTCTCCATTGAGGGGGGCCTTGCGAGTGAACAGTGGCCGCGTGCCTTCCTAAATTCTGTAAAATCCTGCAATTCCTTTCGGTCAATTTTGAAATAAAACTGGCAGAGCCAGGTTTCTGACTCACAGCTTTTAAATGTCCTTCAATGGTTATGAAATTAACTGAGACCAGAAACTGGAGTAGTTTATGCATGTGTTTCTTTAAAGCCAGAGTCCATCATTTGCAGCTATCCAAAAAATAACTGGCGTATTTATTGTTGAAAAACATACTTGGTTGAAAGATAGTAAGGGGACTAAACTTAAATTATTCTTTCTGGCAAGCTGTCATTTTGAAGAAATCAACGAAAGAAGGCCTTTTCAACGGTGCATCTTAAGAAGCACCCTTGGAAATTTCCATTAGTAGTTTGTTTTTTTCAATAGGCGAAGTGTGCGCAAGCGTTGGCACGACGCACACGCGCGCGTGGTTGCTATAATTGGTTGGAATGGTGCGCGACATCGCGTAGCTGCAATCGGCTCAGTGAGAACGTGTCTCGGGCGCTGAATTCAGGTCCAATTTAAAACATGATTCAGCAACTTTTGATTTGAAATCGAGATCCTAGAATGGTGTTTTTCTCGAAATATACAGCTGAAGCTGAGCTGAAACTTCATCAGGTTAGCTGTTCAGCACCCTTCTTTAGAATAGCACAAATTACAAATGATGGACTATACCTTTAACTAAGATATCAGATATAGAAATGGGGAGGCTGGTAACTGGTTCCCACAACCCGACTGTGCTGTATGTCAGTGGGGGAAACACCCAGGTAAGTTTACCAGTGAGTACCGGCTTGGAGGAGGAAGCAAGAATCTACATGTAGTTCTAGTCTGGCATCAGAATAGTGCCTCTGGGTCACGATATTGGCAAAATCGTCATGATCTTGGTAGATTTTGTTTCCTTTTTGACGACGACTACAATTACCTGTACTGATCTTTGGTAGTCATCTTCGTGTCTAAATACATGTTTCTAAATATTTAAGTTTCTAAAACAACATTGTATTCCTAGCATAGATACTGTATTAGGCCCCCCCCCCCAAAAAAAGTCTCCAGTTTCTTGTATGGAGCTTGCCCAAAAAAGTGGTGCGGCGACGCGGCTTTTTTTTTTTTTTTACTTTTTATTTTCTTCAAATCTCGGCTCATGACTGCAAATGGTGCCGGACTAAATTTTGTGCAAAATGTATGGGAGCCCAGAGAGGCCTCATAAAGCTTATACCATATCGTAACTCCATCTAAAAACAGGTTAAAATTGTGCAGCAGCAGGATGCCAGTCAAACCAGTGAGTTTGGGGGTTTTGAGACATCATGTTACATTTTTTTACAAAAAACGTTTTAATTTTGCCGATGCGCATGGCTAAGGCGACGCGCGCATACCAGAAACCGGAGACTTTTTTTTTGGCCATAATTGTTTGCCTGCCACTGGAGGGATGCCAATGACCTTGTCAAAGCTAAGTGATATTTTGCATTGTTTCAGGTAATTGCCTACTCCCAGCACAGATATCGTATCTTTGGTGAGACCATTGATATTGCCGTGGGGAACTGCCTGGACAGATTTGCAAGAATTCTCAAGGTATTTGTCTTTTTTTAATTTTGTAGAATTGCTCTTTTATTTGTAGAAATTGTAGAATTTGTAGACCGTATCGTTCAGGCGGAGATTTAGGGCAATGGTTTTGTATCACTCGAATGCCTCAAATTTGTAGAATGCCATGGTCCAATGGTTACAGCGTTTGACTCATCTATGATGGTACGTGGGTTCAAAACCCTGCCTGGAATATGGTGTTTGTGGCCTTGGGCAAGACACTTAACTACAATTGCCCCTATCCACCCAGGAGTATGAATGGGTACCTGTGAGGGGTAGAAGACCGAATGTGTGCTGATATCGGCTGCCCCTTGGTCTCGTGACCTGATGAACGGGGGAATAATAAGCCTTTTCGGAGTTCCAACTGCGCATTCATAACCTGTGACAACGCGCATTGTTTGTCTCAAATGGCCTTTGACAACATCGCGCCACTGACTTTACAAAAAGGCTGTTTGTGCATTGTGGGTACTGTCAAAGGGCATTTGAGACAAATAATGCGCGTTGTCACAGGTTACGAATGCGCGCAGTTGGAACTCCGAAAAGGCTTATAGTAAAGCACTTTGAGATTGTTGGTACGATTGAAAGCGCTATATAAGCATTACAATTTATGTCTTGGGAGCAAATATTTTGTGCATTCATCCTGACTAACTTAAAATAGCAAAGAATACCCTGTGAGACATCCTTTCAGTAAGCAATGCTACCTAGTTTTTTTGTAACTAATTTGTATTGTGTAGAGGTATGAAGATGGCAATACTTAAACAAATTGTGTGTTCGTACTTTGCAATTTACACCGATACCTATTTTTATTAATGTTTCTCCAGCTGTCAAATGACCCAAGTCCAGGATACAACATTGAACAAATGGCAAAGAGGTGAGTTGAACTGTTAAAGCCAGAGTCCATCATTTGCAGCTATCCAAAAAGGAGCTGGCGTAATTATTGTTGCAAAACATACTTGGTTGAAAGATAGTAAGGAGACTAAACTCCCTGTGAAATTATTCTTTCTGGCAAGCTGTCGTTTTGAAGAAATCAACGAAAGAAGGCCTTTCCAACGGTGCTTCTTAAGAAGCACCGTAGGAAATGCAAATTAGTAGTTCGTTTTGTTATTCGGGGAAGCGTGCGCAAGCATTGGCATGACGCACACGTGGTTGCTGTAATTCGTCGGATCAGTGCGCGACATCGCGTAGCTGCAACCGGCTAGTGAGAACGTGTCTCGGACACTGAATTCAATTCAAAACATGATTCAGCAACTTTTGATTTGAAATCGAGATTTTAGAATGTTGTTTTTCTCGAAAAATGCAGCTGAAGCTAAGCTGAAACTTCATCAGATTGGTTGTTCAGCATCCTTTTTCGGATATTGGGCACTTTTGTTGCTTCAAACGAACAAAATGCACAAATTGCAAATGATGGACTATACCTTTAAATCAGTAACTTTAAGAAGTGATGAGTTTTATCTTGGTGGTCTCCAAACTTTGGAAAACTTGAAATGCTCCTCAGGAAATAGTGCCTGTTCTAATTGGAAAAACATCCCATTTGCATTTTCCTTTTATACAATTTTTGTTCTTTTCTAAATTGTGATCGATCAAGTTTTGCTGTTACTTCTTTTTCTAGAGGAAAGGTTTTCATAGAGCTGCCATACACAGTCAAAGGAATGGATGTCTCCTTCTCGGGCATTCTCTCCTACATTGAGGTAAAATTCAGCACATTTTGGAGCCAAACTGATTTTTTTTCCAGTAGCCAATTGCGCCATCATAAATATATGTGACCGGCTCCACAAAAAGAGTATTAAGTCGCTCTGAGCATTATTATGTAATAGCCTGCTCAACATTGAGCGGGTGAAAATTTTGTCAAACTGTGATTTTTCATTTTTTGTTATGAATGACATCTCTGATACCTACATGTACAGTCTCAGGTTTCATTCACAGAAATGTTGTTTTTGGTGAAAAAAGTGGGAAAAACAACCATTTTGTGTGCATCGTTCTGTTGTTCTACAACATAGTCAGCTATTGCAAAGCCTGTTTTATCAGTTGTGTAATTTGAACTCCAAGGAAGTAATTAATATGCAAATACGTCATCTCCAGAACTTAATTTCACTTTTTTTGCGACAAAATACCTTTTTTTGTGGAGCCGGTCACATATAATGTGTGATGAGAATTTTTTAAAAGTTGACAACAGTAAGGTTCAGGTGTTTTCATGGAAAGTTTCCAAACTCTGGGTTGTTCCCCAGCTGTGGCTGGAGGATGTTTCTTGGCCCCAACTTGGGTAACTCCAGCTCAAAAGAGGTCCATGTCCAATTTTATTACACGAGGCTAAAGATGAAGCCAAAACTGAGACAAAACTGACTTTTCGAAAACGGCATAACTGGATGTATAAAAAAAAAGAAGTCAAGTTTTCATTTAAATATAGCGTGATAAGCCCCCTCCATCCACTGCCGTATTAGAACCAATACAGTTGAGGGCGAAATCTGTTTAAAAAAATGTGCATCTATCAATAGGGAATTTCACAGTACAAGAATTTGTTCAGAGTTTCTTTCTTACTTTTTCATTTTCACAGGACGCTGCTCACAAGCAGTTGAAGGCTGGAAAGTGTACACCTGAAGATCTTTGCTTCTCTTTACAGGTGAGTTAGCTGTTAATTGTTAAACTGACTGGGCTTGCCTAGTCCAACTGAACCCTCAAGTCTGACCGCTGGTCAACTTTTCCGTTGCAGCTGGACAGCTGTAGTTGGTCAGTTTTTGACAGTTTGGGATATTGTTTTTACTCAATGACTTTATACTCGGTGACTCAGTCAGTCGGGGAGTCGGTCAGTCAGTCAGTCAGTCAGTCAGAAACTCAGTCAGAGGACATTTAGGTGGCCCTTCTGATCCAGCTAAAACATCCAAAATGTGGCAAATTTTATCGGTTTTAAGGCCCATTTTGTTGCCACAGGTGGCACATTGCAGTACACAGCGCGTCCCAAAATACCCACAACTGTTTTTGCGAGGCTGTAGCGTCGGCTCAGAAACACGTACCGCCGTTATTTTAAATAGTTGAAACTCTATCCCTTGTGAGTATTGGTTTGATATTTAAAAATGTTTTTAATTATTCGTGGTCAAATAAAGGCATGTCGAAAACAAATTCGACCGATTTCAAGGAAAAGCAATGATGCAGTACATCAGATGCAAACTCGATTTAACAATGTGTTGAAATAATTTAAAAAAATTTGATTTGTTAAAAACACATTGAACTTGAAACAAAAAAACAATGTTTTGAATTCAGTTAAGGTGTAGTCTACACGGATCAAAAAGAAAAGCAAACACAGAAGGTAAAAGGCAACGAGATTGTCACATCATGAACATGAAACATTTCCACAAAAAAAATGTGCATGATTGATTTTCCTTGAAATCGGTTGAGTTTGTTTTTGACGTGCCTTTATTTGAAAACCAATAATTTCAAAACCCTGTTGAAAATCAAGCCAATACTTACCAGGGATAAAGTTAAGATTCCAAGCTATAAAATGATATAAAAATAATGGCGGTACGTGTTTCCGCAGCGACACTAGAGCCTCGCAAAAAAATGTTGCGGGTATTTGGGGATGCACTGTATAACGAGAGATAAAAGTGACCACATTTTGTGAAATCACTCCATCAAACACGCTGTCATTTTAGTCGTCTTGTATTATCTGATATCTTTTTTGATTGTTCCTTGTTTTTTGATACAGGAGACATTGTTTGCAATGCTTGTTGAGATCACGGAGCGAGCCATGGCCCATTGTAGCTCCAGTGAGGTTCTTATTGTCGGAGGAGTCGGCTGTAAGTGGATCCCCAGAGATGAAGGGGGCATCTCAAAAATGTGCAATGTTCCTCTACAATTCCGTCTAGGAACATTTTGTGCATTTGTGTCAAGAACTGTTACTTGTTCCCAAACATGAACTTACGAAGGTCCACGTTTCAGGGAATATTGTTTGTTTGTTCTAATCCCATGCCAACTTGTAGAAAAAACTAATGCTAAGATTTGAAAGCATTGTGTTCCTTTTCATACATGCCAAACTTTCTGAGTTTCAATATGCTGTCTCACTGCACAATATAATATTTTGGAATTGTTCTGCTTTGTGTAGTAAGCAACTGTTCATTTTGTTTGAATGAGACAATTCATGGCATTATGCAAGGATCAGCCTGACTAAATTCTCACAAAATCTAACACTGTGAAGTAACCCAATAGACTTTTATCATGCTGCCACCATTTTAGTCATGTTCCCTGTGTCCAATAACAGTACTGAATGATAGTGTTGTCTGTGTAAGAAGGAACCAGACTATTTTTCCTTCCAGCCTCGCTTTGGTTACGTTGATTTGAATGGGAAAAATCAAGATGGCCGCAACATGATAATGGTCTATAGTATATTCTTTGAACAAAATTGGAACATCAAGGCCCATGTAAAGCAATAGAAGCAGGGCTGTTCAATCCAGAATCCGTTGAAATCCAAAACACACAATGTTCCAACTTGTAGATTATGGGAAGATGGGTTATCATTTTGAGGACTGTGTAGACATCTTTGGGTCCTTTTTTCTGGTGTTGCTAGGCAATGAGAGATTGCAGCAGATGATGCGGGACATGGCGGAGGAGCGAGGGGCAGTGGTGTGTGCGACGGATGAAAGGTAAGAGATTCTTTGACAGAAGGTAGCTAGAATAACTTGAAGGATGAAAATGTAAAGGTGAGCTTGTGTTGGGATGTGCGTGTTCATGGTGTCAATCGAGGACACACACGTGCAACATCATCGATGAATCCAGGACAGAAATCGAATCGAGGACTCCTCGTTTGGAAAATGTGTACAAAACCAATGAGAGCTGTTGCCAAAAAGTTAAATATAAACAAAGGAAAAGGGAAGAGGAACACAAGAAAATCCTCAATTTACACTATAAACAAACGAGTGTGATCCTGTAGTGCCAAAATTATAGAAATTCAGTAGGGGATAACTCACTAATGTGCAGTGGTATACAAATATTGAGTGGCTCAGAGTGGAATAGGAGGAATATCATCGCTCGGTAAAATCTGGACTTTTCCATTTCACGAAGCGAAAAGTCCAGATTTTACCGAGCGATAATATTCCTCGCATTTCAAAATTTAAAGCCACTCAATATTTGTTTTATGTAACTGACATGCAGATCCTTGTCCTTTGATTTACAGTTAAAATGAACTTTTATTTCAATACAAAATTCGTGGGAAATGTATTTCTCTCTTCCAAACCACCCCTTCACGAAATGTTTGAACCCAACTCTGTAGCTACTGGCTCTTGGGAACAAAACGCACTACCCGCGACGCTCAACGCGCACACCAGCATGCATTTGCACACAAATACCGTGCCATGGAACAAGGATGATCCTAACCATTGAAAAGTAAATCCCATTCACCATGGGCGAATGGGACTTTTTGAGCCCCGGCGTGAATGGGAGCAGTAATGAATGTCACATGATGTGAGTACCACCAATCAAATGACAAGGATCTGTATGTCAGTTATATAATTTTTAATGAATACACTCTGGGCATGCTGAGCAGCGGTAATAATGATTTACAATTGAGCAAGCTTGTTACCGCAGTGGAATGGGCAGCCTCCCATTGAGGCTGTTCAAGCGTTATTCCAAGTTATTAAATCATGACAATCCATTCTCTGTCTCTCAGGTACTGTATTGATAACGGAGCCATGATAGCGCAGGCTGGTTGGGAGATGTATCAATCAGGCCAGCGGACTCCCCTAGAGGAAACATGGTGTACACAGAGGTAGGTAAAAATACAGGGTGAGTGAAAAAAAGCGGAACCCAAACCCCAAACAATATATTTCATATTTAAAAAAATATGTAGAACCAAAAATGATAATGACTGGAAAGCCAATTTCATAAGCTACTTTTAGATGGAAAAATTACTGAAATTGCTCAATCCGTTCAAAGAATATCACCATTTAAACTCAATGACCCCAAAACCTGTCTCGTCCAAAAATGCGATTTCAACAATCGTCGTCACAATTGTCTTCAAACATCACCAGCGATGAAATCTTAGTTTAAACGTTAAGAATATGCAACAAAGTCCTTTTGAAGGCCCGTCTTTTCAAAAAGTAGATTTTATACATCGTATTGTTTGCCTAACCAGGGTTGTTAATCAAAATATTGTGTACTACAGTTTGTGACAGTTGTTGAAACAAGTATTCTGTGTCATTTTCTTTGTTGTTCCAAACAGTCAAAACACACAATAAATTACTTTTTTTGGACGAGACAGGTTTTAGGGTCGTTGCGTTTACGTGGTGATGTTCTTTGAACGGAGTAAGCAATTTCAGTAATTTTTCATCTGAAAGTAACTTACGAAATTGGCTTTCCAGTCATTACTATTTTTGGTGCTACATATTTTTTTAAATACGAAATATATTGTTTGGGGTTTGGGCACCCTTCAATGGAGAAACCATTGTACATGCCATTAGGACAGTCGCAGTGTTAGAATTTGCATGTGTGCTGGACGTTCAGGAGTCATAAATTAAAAACCTAAGACATTTTAATGAGAATATCAGCCAGGTTAAGGGACGGACGGCCTCTGATCATCTAATAAACATAGCCATGAAGTCGTCATGTTTGGAAGAGGCAAATGTTTATAACAATTGTTTCTGTCTTAGATGTAGCTTATGTTAAGGAGAATACACGAGAAAGTGTGGATTCTTAATTTAAGAATTCACGAGGCGCGAAGCGCCGAGTGAATTCGTAAATTAAGAATCCACACTTGCGAGTGTATTCTTCGACTGAAACCATTGCGTCAACAGAAGTATTGGAAAGAATGTTGCAACCTGACGCCACTTTTTCTTCATATATCATCTCAATGAAGGTCATTCGTTGCGAAAATAATGATAAGACATGAATCTGGGACTGAGAAATGTTTCCAATTTTGTTAAGAAATACTTGAAATGACTCTCCATAGACTTTGTACACAAGTGCGGAAGTGGCATCAGGTTGCAACATTTCTTCCTGGCGTGTTTAGCATGTGTATCGCCACACCTGTACAACCAAGTCATTTTGTGTGTATAGGCTCCTTACGTCAAAATGGATAGTTCAGACGACGATTTCTTTCTGACTAAAAGTAGATTTTGCAGTGACGGCAGAGAATCTAACAGTGAAGATGTGTCGGTAATTTTCGGAAAACAAATTTTCACGCAGACGGTCCTATTCAGGCTCATTATGGGGAACAATTGTCCGACGTGTTCAAAGTGTGGATTTGTAACTCCGAATCCACACTTTACTAAAGATTCGTCGTTCTGAATCCACACTTTGTGACCAGTGTAAGAGATTCGTAGATCCGAATCCACACTTTTAACAGTAGTGTGACATCATAGCAATGGTTTAATCCTCTAGCATCAAATTTTTTTTTGTGTGTCTTTTATGGTATTCTTTCAGATTCAGAACGGACGAGGTGGATATCACATGGAGAGAATGAGTGTCAGTGCTGAGTGCAGACAAGACAATGAGTAGGACCACCGTTGTTGCATACAAGGCTTTTGTGGCACAAGCTTGACTTCATGCACGGTTACCACCTCATTGATGCCAAAGAGAGTTACGACAGACACTGGAACGCCATTGCCACTGTGAACACAGATGAAAAGTTCATCGTTCTTTGCACCATATGCGTGTGAATCGGTGCAAGCGAGCAGTGCGTCCAACGGACACACTGCAGCTCTTGTGTGTGGTCACACAGTGCCATCTTCTGTTCCGAGCAGAGTCTACTCTTTGGAGGATCTGGCAAGGACTGAAACTATCAAGCCAGCGCGGAGGACAACAGATTTGAGTGTTGAATAGACTCGTTGCACTAGGGCTCCGTGCACAAGTACCCCCTCAACGGGTACAAGGGGAGAGTTGGGGGAGACCACTGGGAGGGACGATGCCTGATGCTCATGTAAAGACGCTACGGCTTTGTGTACATTCCGAATATAATTAGCCATGCATACTTCATGCATGCGTAAGTTTGTCCTCTGGGGTTTCAAAAGCCCCATTAAATTCATTAATAATTGTGCTTATATAGGGCTTTCCATCGTATCAACGATCTCAAAGCGCTTTACAATTATTAACCCGTTCATCAGGCCATGGGACCACGCGGCAGCCGATATCAGCGCTCAATCGGTCCTCGACCCTCACAGGTACCCATTTATACTCCTGGGTGGAGAGAGAGGCAATTGTAGTTAAGTGTCTTGCCCAAGGGCACAAGCACCATGTTCCTGGCCAGGTTCGAACCAACGCACCTTCGTACATGAGTCAAACACCGTAACCACTGGACCATGGCGTTCCACTGGACCATGGTGGACCATTTACTGTTTGTGCAGTAAAGGCCATATGCAAGGGGAAATATCTTTGGTTGTTTTGAGAATGACGTTGCTTTCAACAAACCCTTAATACAGTGTTACTAGTCAGGTGCTCTTTCAAAGTTATCTTTGCATGCCAGTAAGAACATCAAGTGGTTTATATAACTGACATACAGGTCCTTGTCATTTGATTGGTGGAAGTCACATCACGTGACATTTCATTATTGCTCCCATTCACGCCGTGGCTCAAAAAGTCCCATTCGCCCATGGTGAATGGGATTGACTATTCAACAGTTAGGATCATGCTTGTTCCATGGGGCGGTATTTGTGTGTAACTGGCAACTGCATGCTGGTGTGCGCGTTGAGCGTTGCGTGTACGGTTCCCCAAGAGCCAGAAGTTACCGAGTTGGGTTCAAACATTTCGTGAAGGGGTGGTTTGGGAGAGAGAAATACATTTCCCACCAATTTTGTATTGAAATAAAAGTTCATTTTAACTGTAAATCAAATGACAAGGATCTTTATATCAATTATATAAAACAAATATTGAATGGCTTTAAATTTTGAAATGGGAGGAATATTATCGCTCGGTAAAATCTGGACTTTTCCATTTCACTCGGCAAAAATCAAGATTTAACCTTGCGATAATATTCCTCCCATTCCACTCTGAGCCACTCAATATTTGTATACTATTGACTCTGGTTTATATAACACCCACAGAAGCATGTCCAATGGGAGAGTCTTGTAACTTATTGAAGACAGAATGGGTTGTTTTCTTCGGCGCAAAAGTTTCCAAAAAGAGACTTCAAGAGAAGGCATTTTATATTATACAAATATTGAGTTGCTCAGCGTGGCATGGGAGGAATATTATCGCAAGGTAAAATCTGGACTTTTCCATTTCACGAGGCGAAGCCGAGTGAACTGGGAAAGTCCAGATTTTACCGAGCGAAAATATTCCTCCCATTTCACAATTTAAAGCCACTCAATATTTGTTTTTATATAACTGACATATAGATCCTTGTCATTTGATATATTTGAACTTTTATTTCAATACAATACTGGAGGAAAATGTATTTCTCTCTTCCAAACCACCCCTTCACGAAAATGTATGAACCCAACGCTGTAGCGCTGGCTCTTTGGAACAATACGCGCTACGCTGAACGCGCATGCGTCATGATCCTAACTGTTGAATAGTATTTCCCATTCCCCATGGGCGGATAGTACTTTTTGAGCCGCGGCGTGAATGGGAGCAATAACGAATGTCACGTGATTTGAGTTCCACCAATCAAATGACAAGGATCTATATGTCGGTAATATAACAGGTGCTATTTTCAATGTGACAAAAAAGAGATTGTAAGGTGAATGAATTCATAAGGCCGCTGCTGCTGCAGCTATTTTGTACTGAATTTGTAGTTTGATGAAATTAACCTCTCAATGGTTTCAAAATATCACATTACTTTGTATGATTTTTTGGGGTGTTAATATTTTTATATATAAACATCTAACCCTAGAAACCTTATTGCTCAGTGTATGGAAGGCACATTTGACGTGTTGATTGGTTATGTCTTTACGGGAACCTTTACATGTAGAACTTAGGGCGAAAACGTCCAAGTTAAAAGCTAAAATGATAATTACTCCAAAATACTAGATGCAGCAAGTCAACTGTATTAGTGCATTGGTCTTTTTGTGACCCTGGGTTTAAAAGTTAAAAGAACGGAAAGGTCCATCGGTGTCATGTTCCACTTTATCAAGCTCCAATAATTGTGATGCGATCAAGCTAAATGAGTCGTTTGTCGGGAATTTTTATTTGGAGATACAAGCCAAAATAAGATCACTTCATCACATCACTTCATCACATCTCTTGGTGTTCCGACTTCCATAATTTTTTAACTAAAGATGATATAAGCATGCAGTTTTCTTAGCAGTAATGCTGAGATCGTGCTCTTTTCAAATCTGTAAAAAAAAATAAAATTGACCAGGGTCGACAAACGACTCATGTAGCTTGATCCCATCACAATTGCTAAATCCCAGCCCATTTCAGCCACTGGTCCTTAGAAGTACATATAAAAACACAGTACACTCTTAAAAAAAAATCTGTACAAGAAACACCACAAGTATTTTACTCTTTTTTCATTGTTTGTACATTTTTTAATACTTTATATTTTCAATGAAAGAAATTGGAAGTAAAAATGCCGTTTTCTTACACAGTATTTTTTACGTGTGTTTGTCTGTTTAATACAAAATGTTGATAATCGCTGTGACGTCTGTACATACACTGTGATAAAGCTAATTATATTTGCTTATAATCTTTAAATAAATGCTTGAGAAAGATTTTGTTATACTAAATTTACAAAAAGACCTATTTAACACCATTGCATTTGAGCATAAAAATATCTAAAAAGGCTATTTATGTCTTTAACCTAGTATTATACCTTTTTTTCACAATCTCTGTGTAATTATCATGCCACAATTTACAATCACGGAGAAAATAATTCTCAAGACAATTCACAATAATAGTATATAACATTCCCCAGTGAATTTCTCACCATATTGAGATGGAAAGCAATAAAAATAGGGCTCTATGCTTCGGAAATTCTGGTCAGTCGGTTTAATAATTTACAACCAATTCATTGTACATGCTTTCATTCATTCATTTAACCAGAGTAGAGGAATAAATATATCAACTAATAAGTATTCTAAATCCAATTTAATTGACTGTGAAAATCAAACAGCTCATAATACCTTTATCAAGTGATTGTCTTTCTTTTTTTGTGGGGGGGGGGGAGGGGTTTAGGTAAAGCTTATTCCTGGTGAACTTTTGTGAATTAAAATTTTAAGAGCTCAAAGGTGACTTTTTCTGTCACCTTTTCTCCATGTTGCGTACAAGTGGAATGGAACAATGAGAATTTAACCTTTTTAAATTAACATCAGTACAACAATTTACAAGAACCATGATTTCCAATTTGAAAAGTTGTTTAGGTTTGTTTAATACACGCCATCCTTTAGGCTTTAAGACTGTTGTTGAGTAATGTGACAATGCTCAATGTCATGATGTAATAATGCACAACGCTGGACTTGATTTGACAAAGAGGTTTCATGAAAACATAGTTTGCACATTTTAACATCAAATCTAGTATTGATGAAAAATTAAAGAGAAATTTGTCTATTAGTGTTGAAAACATCCGTTGTGTGCAAAAGGGTCTGAAGGAGAGGGCGGGTCGTCACCATGTTATGGGGAAGTTTTTTTATTGTTAGGGAAATTAGGACCAAGTTATGGGGACTTTCTGCTGTCTCCATACCGTCTTTGGTCCCCGTGATAACTATCGCTCATCAGGTGTGTAGTCCCTACAGTTACGGAACAAGAATGTCTGTCAGACTTTTGTCTGAGAGGGACAACCTCTTCAAATGTATCTAATTTATAAACAAGATTGTTTTTTTTTATTGGGGTCAGCAGAAGCGATTGCATATCATCTCACCTGGGTATTTATTTCATTTCTTTGATGAAAAATAAACCGATTATTTTTCAATTAGTTTATGAATTTTCCACTTACATGTATTGGTAATACCCATTATGATAAAGATTGCCAATACATTTGATTTTCTAAACATCATCCTTCCACATGAATCGTTGCCATCTTTGCCCAAAATTTACATCAGATCATGTAAGCTTCTATTCCAACATAAGTATACTTTCGAAATACTGGTATTGTGCATGCATTAAAAAAACAAACAATTAGTTCCTCTGAATTTCCAATCGTCATTTCTGCTATAAAAAAATAATAATAAAATTAAGCAATGTACACATGTACACCTTCATATTTTTTTGGTCACATATACATTCAAGTAGAAAAATAAACAAAAGAAAAGAAAATCAATGGTACATGTACCCACTTTATACAAAAACAAGAGCTGTTTTGAAAGACTTGTTAAAATAGGTTCCCCCATTCATATATAATATACATGAGACCCCCCACAAGTTTGAAAACGTGAAAGAAAATTTAACAATTTTTTGTGCAATGTACACCAAGCCAAGGTGTTTGGCCTGTATTTTTGTACTTTTTCTTTTCCTTCTTTGAGCGAATTTTTTAAAAAAAAATTTAAACTGTCAGTAATGTGGACCATCCAAACTTTCATTGCATTGCACCATATGGGCTCTGTGCTCAACTCTCCCGTAATAGTGACAAATGTGAGATGTCAGTGTCGATAATGGATGTTCTTCCATGCTATGATACTTAACATTCCGTAGTAGCGCACATGACTTGGACCCAATTTCACGGCGCTGCTAAGCACACGATTTTTTGCTAACAGAACCTCCGTCTATTTCATGGAGACTGTAAGAATAAGCACAGCAAAAGGCATGCTTACTTCAGAGGAAAATTTGCTTAACTTAGTGACGTAACAATAGAAATCTCCATGCACGCGTGACCGTTAGCACACACACGCCGTGAAATAGTGCTTAAGGTTAGCACATTTTTCTGCTGTGCTAAACACAACTTTTCTGCTAACTGTTAAGCAACGCCGTGAAATTGGGCCCTAGTGAGGTAAGAGCTTCCATCTCAAGACTGGTTCCTCCTTTTATATATCTGGAATATCATGGTGAAACCAGGAACCAGCCTATATCATTACTTGTTCAGCAAAGGCTGCGAGCAATTCAGTTGGCTATGCCCAAAAGTAACATATAGCCTATGGTATGTACGGATTCCTGTACATGCACATGTAATTAATGACACTGCACGTGAGCCACAACATATAGTCGGGTACTTTGTGGCTATGGATTTCTGTTTTTGTGTGCCACTGGTGCACCATGATGAAAAGCCGTAGCCATAGACGGAAGGCTCATTTTATTTTATACAGCCTGTGTGCTCTTCACACATCCTTATACTTAAGCTATAGAGCGCCCTCTGTAGTTCACGCACAGATCCCTTTGCTAGCAATCAAATACATTTATACAATGTTATCAACTGCACGTTTATCAACAGAAGCTTACTTTTAAAAAAAAATACCGGTGAAAGAAGACTCATATAATTTCGTGAGGTTCAGACAAAATTTCTGGAATGTATTCAAAAAATTCTTGTATTGTGGTCCTGATATTCAGTGGAATTTTGAAAGTCAAACATTCAACTATGAACTGATGAACTCGAGGTATTTGAACACGCAAGTTTAAAACTTTGACAAATGTATAACAAGATGAATGTTTGGAAGTTGACAGTGATTTCGGATTGTGGAATTAATTAACAAAAGACTGCAACGTGATCGATCAAATAAAGAGATAATAAGCAGTGTGCGTATTACAGAAATTCTGTCAGAATAAAACGTATGACAAGTGAAGTGGGTTTGAAAAAAAAGTGCATTTCATAGAGATTGTCCAATCATTTACCATGTCAACACATTATAACCCATCTTACATCCGTATAACTTTTCTACTTAAGCAAAGTAGCTGCACACACATAGATTTAGGCACAAACGATCTACATGTATCTAATGCATCATCTCAACATTAATTTACACATTGGAAAATTAAAAACCAAATTTGCTCTACATAAATTATCCATTATTTTTTGTGCAACATAAACACCACACCCGAGACACAACGAAAAATTGCAAGCAAATAAATCTTCTCATTTAAACTATAAAACATTAAAATATCTGGAATCAAATATTATACAAGTCTATGTGACGTATTTCATTTAATCATATTGCATATTTTTAAATCTCATGCAAATTCAACTTACAAAAAAAATAGGCTGTCGTTGTAAAACAAAAATTTGGATCTAGATACATTCTTTTACATGAAATATTATTCTAACACTCACAATAGGAAGAAAACTGCAACAATTGCAGCAATTATAATCAGGGAAATGGCTAAAACTTTCAGGTAAACGGAGGAAATTTGTAAATGATTTTGGTTTGGAATATAACACTGATCCTACTCTTTTTCTTCCAATCGTAAACACCTAGGGCTTGCAAAGTTTCAAATCTGAACTGTTTGAATTAGTGCGTACCGCAGTCAATTTTTACAGCATTGATCAAATGCCGAACATTTCAAGTACTGACTGCAGAACACAGTAGTTGCTGCAGTGCAAAATTTATCTACTTTGCCGCTGATACAACAGTATAAAGGTTTCAGAGAGGCTACATTTTTTGGTTTCCAACAGTGAGGGTGGAAGGTGGGTGTTTTAGCCCCCCCCCCCCCAAAACAAGAAAAAAATGAAGGAAAAAAAAACCCCAAAAAGCACACACCTTCAGTGAGGGTGGAAAGAGGGTATTTGTGTCCCCCCCCCCCCCCCCGAAAAATCAGATAACGCAAACGAAAATTAAGGTTTTTTCTGAATTACGATTGAATGTTTATGTAAGCAGCCAGATTCAGGAATGGGAAGCAATAGTAGCAACAACATTCACAATCAAAGTAGTCAACTTTAAACAAGTAAAACCTCTTTGCTGAAGGTTTGTTGCCCACGAAAGAAAGACTGATTCAAAACAAGAAAGAAATCTCAGCTGAAATTACTGTTAGGAAGTCCCTTTTCCTTGCTCACAAGTGAACATACAGTAAATTATATTGCAAAGTAAAAAAAATGAAGTGGTGAAAGACAGCATATATTAAGATATGAAACTACAACCCGAATAAAACACAGATCTATTGCAGCAAATCAATTTCACGAAGCTGTTATTAGCAGACGATACCAAAAATATAAGCAGAGAACCAGTGGCTGTCAAAACACATCGCATGACATTTTGGCTGGTCACTGATTATGCTTGGTACATTCCTGGTCAACCTAATGAATCTGGCCACTTTTGATGTTGGCAGTAAATCACATTATCGCAGTCAGCCAGTTTGGTATTTCAACTGCGCATACCAACAATGACATGGGTCACGGGCCATTCCAATGCTCATTCGAATGCTCACTGAACGCGCAGGGACACGGGCGCACGACACTCGGGTGTTAGTTACGAGTAGAACGGGTGTTCGCGTAACATCGCGTAACATCACGTCAGCATTTTTACCCCGAATGACCTTTGACCTTGACGACTTCATCGCGATACTGAACTAGCTTATTGACAAGTTCCTGTTTTGTAAACTGGCCAGTGGAATACTTCGTAAATGCTGCAAAATCATAGAAATGTTTGTACATGGGACCAAGACTACTGAGCCTGAAAATTGCTAATGTGTCATGATTATTTTCCCCCATCATTGTAGATGTCAGAAGAAAGTTCACATGACTGAAGAAATCTGCATAACTAATAATCTGCATATAGTGTCTTTGTGAAGATTTCATTTACAATAGTCTCCCACGCGTTACGGACCGACATGACAGGGGAATTCTGAATGGACCGTGTTATTCTCAAAGGAAATTTGCATTGGCAATCTGAAATTGCTGTTACCATGGACATATTTTGTTTCCATGGAGACTATCCTCTTTATTCATCTTTAAGCAATCATTGTTTTCAATTCATCCCGTGCAAGGTCAAAAATTAATGACTACCCTACAGCACTGTAATATAAGAAAAGAGAAACTGATGAATTTGTTTTTCAGAATTACATTATAGAGTCCCCTTTTCAATTATTATTATTTTTTTAGAATATTTTTTAAAATGCCAAACCACTGTGTATTTTTCATTTTTACGTTTATTTGGTAGCAAAGCAGTTTTGCCAACTTGCATTATTTTAAAGCCGGCAAGTTTTTTTTTTTCCTTAGGCCTCATTCATGATTAGACAGAAAAGTAGTTTACAGCAGTATGGATTTACAAGTAAAAATTTTTAGAAAATACTGCGTTCAGCCTCAGACAGCAAAAAAAAAAAAATTGGATGCAATTTTTTTTTTCTTTCACAAAATGATGCAGCATCTTCTGTCCTCGTCACCGCCAATAACCTCCGGTTCAATCGCCGTGAACCGTTTGAGGGGCGGGTCCCCAGGGTAAGGTTCAAGGGAGGTGTTACTCAACTCCGAGGTATTCAATCCTGATTGGTCACCGATGCCGTTCTGTTCGCTTCCCGTGGAGTCTCGGTGTCCGTCGCCCTGGCTGGCCTCGTTGAACGTGTAACTCCCGGACAGCCTGTGGGGCAGCATCTTGCGCACAATGTGCGGGCTCTTCTTCTTTGTGCTGTTCTGCGACTTGTGGTCTTTCAGGAGGTCAACGGAATCCTTGCGGTAGCTTGTCTCGTATTCTTCCATGCTTTCTCCGCTGTGAGTCCGCTTGGCATGCTCGGAGGCCCGGTGCCGTTTCAACTCGGCCAGTGTCTCAATATGTCCAGAATGGTTGCTATCTCTCTCTTCTTGCTTGTCTTGGCTTTCCTCCGTCTTGTTCTCCTCTATCTTGTTCTCCTCTGTCACGTTCTCCGTCTCCACCGTGACGGTTTTCCGCTTCAGCTGTTTCTCCTTTTCCTTCTCCTCCTTTTCCCGTTTACGGAGTAGTCTCTTCTCCTCTTTGATCCGTTGCCTTTCCCGTTCTTTTTCCTCCTTCTTCCGTTGTCGCTCCTCTCGTTCCCGCTGCTTGGCCTTCTCCCGTTCCTCTCTCTCCTTGTGCCTTTCTTCCTCCAGCTCCTGCTTCCTGGTATCAACCTCCTTTGGTTTTTCCTTCCTGCTCTTCTTGGCGTTGGAGTCTTCCACCACCTCTTGCTCCTTCCTTTTCTTCAGGATGCTCTTGGGTTGTCTCTGCAATGTGGGCACATCAAGTCCTCCCGTTTGAGGCTTGTCCTCACCCCCGCCTCCGTTCCGCATCACTGAATCGTTGCCGTTCTCCAGCTGAGCTTTCCTGTCGGGACTTTCCGGTGTTTCCTCGTTTATGACCGGCAATGGGATGATATCAGTCTCTAAGGCACCGTTGATGTCTCCTCTTTCCTCTTTCTCCTGATCTGCTCCGTCCAACGTCACCGACGCTATCGACACCGGACTTTGAGGTACTTCCTCCGTGTCCACATTCACTTCGTCGATATCTGTGGCTGGAATCTCATCTCCCTGGGGAGACTGGGGTAAAAGTAATCATGGGAAAAAAAATCATGAGTTTCATTTTTTGCAACGTCAAGTATTTCTTTTTCAAGATTTATATTAATGCAAAACGGAAAACTGTGGACAGCTGTGCTGTGTGTGGCAGCAGTGTAATCTGGCTATGGTAGGCTGACTTAGCACTTAGTACCAGTCAAGCAGCCAGCAGACTGGAAGTGAGAATTTCACCCACGTAGCTGGTTTCTGCATGCTATTATCAGATGCCACGGGAATTTTAAAACCTCAGGTTTTTCTCTGGCTATGGCTTCTTCTCTGGCTTATAAATCATATGAAAGCCTTTCATATCCACAACACATGCACACACTCCTCACTTTTACCATATGTATGCATTATAGACTTTGAGTAATGAGCTGGAATCCCCCAAGTCAGAGGCCAGAAATCTCCTCAAGTCAGAGGCCAGAAATCTACTTGAGTCAAGAGGCCAGAAATTTACTCGAGTAGTCAGAGGCCAGAAATCTTCTCAAGTTTGAGGCCAGAAATCTCCTCAAGTCAGAGGCCAGAAATCTCCTGAAGTCAGAGGCCACTAATCTCCCCAAGTTAGAGGCCACTAATCTCCCCAAGTCAGAGGCCACAAATCTCCTGAAGTCAGAGGCCACTAATCTCCCCAAGTTAGAGGCCACTGATCTCCCCCAGTCAGAGGCCACTAATCTCCCCAAGTCAGAGGCCACAAATCTCAAGTCTGGTGACACAAATCTCATGAAGTATTACAGAGGCCACACATCTCCTCAAGTCAGAGGCCAAAAATCTCCTCAAGTCAGAGGCCACAAATCCCCTTACTGCTGAGCTGAAGTCAAAGTAATAGACAAATCCGGGCACTGCACACTCAAGAGTCCCCCTTCAATTCAGAAACCATGGTGCGCGCTATTGTACAAAGCAACTGTCCCACGATGGATTATCTGAACAATAGCTAGCACAATGCTTTTCACCATTGAAGGGGGCCTTCACAATAAAACTGACAGCGTGCCCGGATTGGTCTACAGTTTTATAACAACCCCCCCCCCCAATGTTTTACATTCTCAGTTGTGACACGGTCCTAAACAGCAGATCAAATTTATTAATGAAAACAAGGCAACCATTTTTCGTTTTGACCAGCCACAAGAAGTAACCGGCAAATGGGTCGCACTACAATAAAGTCATGGTAATGGGCAGGTCAGAGGTCAGGAACCTACTTGTGATTGGATGAACATTGCTTCTCCCTTGGCGTCCAGCTTCCGTAGTTCTCCTTTCTCCCGTTTGCTGCTACGTCTTATGGAAGAACTGAGAGGAGTAAAGAAAATCAGACCCCAAAAAGGTCAGTTAAAAGACAACATTCTCAGGAAACTGATGTGAGATAAAGCCATATTTAAGGGAGAGTGTGGCCTAGTAGTTAAATTAATAAAATAACCCAACTTGTTTTGAATGATTTTGATGAACCCTAGCCTTGGTCAATGCTCTCGTCGTTATTCGTCCCGCCGTACGCGGTCAATCGTCGGCATATATCCTCACGCGCTATGCACATGCATGTAAAAATACAGCGCAAACAGCGACCTCATGCGGCCACTAATTTTTTATGCAAATCAGTTGAGGACGATCTCGAGCCTTGGTTCAATCGTCGGCAAAAGCTTATGTTTTTCTTTATTTTGCGCTGGATTTCTAGCGCACGACCTCGTATGCGAATACAGATAAGTGTAGGCGGGGCTAATATGTGGAGTGTCCAATCACATCTTGGTAAATCCGGACGTCATCAAATTATTTGCTGCTATTCGCCTTTTCCGGACGTGACAGGAACCACAGTTTTTGTGCATTTGTGCCGTGTGCAGAGACACACAACGTGTACGTGTATGGATTATGTATGGTGCCACGTTTCACTATGCAAGTTTCCACACAACGATCGACCAATAAGAAAATGACATTTAAGGTCAGCTAAGGCTATTAACATAATGAGCACCACCCCCAAAACCTCACATGGACGATTGAACCAAGGCTCTCGATCGTCCCCAACTGATTTGCATATAAAAATAGTGGCCGCGTGAGGTCGCTGTTCGCGCTGTATTTTTACATGCATGTGCATAGCGCGTGAGGATATATGCCGAGGATTGACCGCGTACGGGACAAATAACGACGAGAGCAATTGACCAAGGCTAGATGAACCCTAGAATGAACAGGTCAGCCACCACTTCCTGATTTCACATGGTGACCCTTTTTGTTTACATACAAAGAGTGTGACCTTAATGTTGACTTCCTGTTCTATATAAAAACAAGTCATCAACTTCCCTCAACCCACTTCCCTCAACCCACTTCCCACAAAGGATGTTGGTTGCACGATGTCTGTCAAAAGTATCACATCACTTCCCCCTTTAAAAAAACCTCAACAACAATTGTGTCAAACTTGACAAAGAAACAGAATGTGTTAATCATATTATTAATCAGAATGTGGCTAGATCTGTGCTGTGTGTCTACACTTGGAGATGATTTGGGGCAACATTTTTTTGCCACTTCTTTTGGCAAAATTCTTCAATTTTGTTTTCCATTTTAAGTAGAAAATCAAATCCTTTGGGGATTTTCCTATTGTATTGAGAACAATCTCCCGCAACCCTGTCTAACTGAAATGAATATTTTTTTTTCTTTTGGCTGGGGCCTTTCCCAAATCTGTCAAAAGCTGCAGACAACGTATGGAACATTCTTTGTACTATTGTAACGTGAAGCCTATGTAACGCACATGTATTAGTAGCTAGGCTGCACGAAATGTGAAATCCATTGAAATTACTACAAAACCTAAGAGCACAGAGTACTGGACTTGGGGTAGTTTAGATTAAGGATTCGCCTTTCAAAGAGATGTTTTTAGCACTGCGAAAAATTTGTGTAGATTGACTCAGTCGTTAAAACAAAATTATATATGATTCCTTTAAACCCCTCTCCTAGACAGCCATCTTGGTAGGAAAATTACAACTGCGTATTCAACGCCATCAGGTGGGTGTACGGACAGTGTGTAAAATGTTCTAAACACGCGTGCATGTTGCTTGAAATTTCATCAAAATATATCCAATCAATCAATCAATCAAAAGAAATTTATAAAGCGCCAAAATCAAAAAGTTTGCTCTAAGGCGCTGATGGAGCACCAAAAAGAAGGGAAATTATGGTACACCTCCTGAAACAGGTGAGCTTTCAGGAGTGTCTTGAATGTATGCAGTGAGGTGGTATCTCTAATGTATTCTGGAAGTTTGTTCCAGATTCTGGGGCCGTATACAGAAAATGATCAATCAGCAAAAGAGACACTATGGGTTCTGGGCACACCACAAAAATTCAACTCCCAAAACGCTGATACAAGTTGCAATAGGTGGTGACGTCATTTGAGAGAGACTTATTGTCAGAACCGTCTAAACAATTGTACACTCATAACCACAAAGGAATGAGTCGTCAGAGAGAGACATGTTAAAGTGATTTTCGGTTATTCCATCTAGCCTTGCAGATTTCCTGCTCGAGATTAAAATGATAAAAAGGAAATTCCTAGTGGGTAAGAGTTGAAGCCTTTGCTTCCGGATTTCTGGCCGTTGACCAACCTGCGTTTGCTTCGACTGGAGTTTCGTCGGATCAGCCCCCTTCCTATCGCATGATTATGGGCATTGATCTCCGCCTTCAATTGGTTGATAAGATTCTTGAGATCTTCGTCTTCGCATATTGCTGCAGGAAAGTGGAGGGAATGATAAGAATGGGTCAGTAAGTCATGCATGCGAAAATCATCTAAGAAATAACTTTATCATTGCCTCAAAATTGACCAAAACCATGCTTTGCAATTATGTAAGAATGATTTTTTTAAGGGGAAGAAAAAGTGATAACGAAAACACGGTGGGGACCCCCCCCCCCCCCACTCTGCCCCAAGAGATATTTCTAGACCCTCTACAAACATAAAACTGTATAAACCATGATTGGAAAGTTCTTTCAAATAGTTAAAATAGAGGAGGTCGTGTTGATTATCAAACTGAAGAGGAAATTTTATGAGGGTAAAAACATCTCTGTGCAAGTGTCATGGAACACTGATCACAAAGAAGTGCCGTATGGGTTCAGGATCAATTTATACAATTCCATTTTACGCTTGACCGACGTGTTGTGCATCAAATTGGATTTGCTATTAAAAGCACTTCCTTGTCAAATAATTCCAAATATAATTTGTGGGTGGACAATGAATTCCATTCAGTAACCTTGACAGGTGGCCTACAATGAAATAGAGTAATAAATTGCATATATGGGGGGTTCAAAACTACTGGGGGAAAGAAGGACGTCTTTGCACATGTACGTGTATATAGGATGACATGCAACGTCAGGTTTTTGCTATATTTGTTCGAGACTGCACCTTCTACATGTTGTAGACAAAAAGTACAAAAAAATGTCAGTCATACATTCGGGAAGCTTCTGTCTATACAATAAAAGTCGAAAGGGAAAGAAAATGTACACATTCACATACGTACATGTAGACCCATCAGTATTAAACCAAAAACAGATATGAGAAAGCCTTAATTAGAGTACAATTGATACTCAAACAACCTGTTTAAAATGAATCTGCATGACATGTTTCATAAGACGAAACATCGAAATTGAAAAAAAAAAAAATTATAACTGCCAACAGAGGCAAAGTCTAAATGTGACCTGCCATACCATAATGAGAAATAACCCCCACCTTTGGCTTTTAAAGTTATATACCGGTACATCATGTTAAAGCACAAATCTTTAGCTTTCCAATGATGCCAAATTTATTTCTGTAGCTTAATTTAATCCAAAGATATGCGCAAGAACTTCAACAGTGTCCTACCGAACTTCGCCAACCTCATTTCGAGAAAAATGGCTTTGAAAAAAAATATGCATTACGCCGCCAACGGCAACAAAAGACATTCTTCAGTTTTTCCGCTTTTGGGGGTATATTTTTCCCCATCAAAATGCACAGTGTAAATCTTCGATACCTTGGCTAACAAAAACCCCCAAATAACCAAAATCGATTTTTCATGTATATCAGACTTCAGCACCGATTACTCAAAACGATGTTTTGGGGGACAATCCTCATTTTGACACAGCAGGTCACAAATGTCGCTACCACTACATGTACTTTCCATGCAATTAATTTTGGCAATTTTTCGGACTATTTCTGATTACTTTTTTTCTCATTAATTTTTTTCTGATAATTTTGACAATCTGTCAAATCTGTCAATGTTTCATAAGACATTGAATTTGGGAAAAAAAATACAACCGCCAACAGCGGTAAAGTTTACACGTACGTATCACTAGATTCCATGCCATTCATTTTGACAATTTTCACAGGTGAAAATTTCAAAATTTGACTACAAAATCACATCTAGAAGAGCCTATGCACGTTCAGGAACATATTTTATACCAGGGGCTACATGTACGTGTATATTTCACAAGGCTGCTAAATTTTCCAAGCACGTACAATATTTACTAAGCAAATGGGTTACCAGTCAAAATTGTCATGTAATGCATACAGATTTTGACTGGTTCTCAGCTATCTGCTTAACACACAGATTTGCTCAGCATTTTTTTTATTTTCTTCTGCTTTAGTTCTGGGAGATTGGGACCAGGAACTAAAAGGACCGAGGACGGGGTTACTATTCTGTTGTATCTGCCTGTCACCAACCTCAATATTCAGCAAAATGTAATAATAAGGTTAAACAAACATTTACATCCTTGTAATATTGCCACAGAAAGAAATCTTCCACAAACTGGTTCCTCTATCCGCCTGTTGTTGATTCAGTTGAGGTTAACGTTTGCGTCTGGAGTCTGTCACTATCGACGAGGGCTCCGTTAATAGAAAGGTCACGCTCGCCCCAAGTCCCCGGGACTCCAACTTGTATCAATGAAAGGTCGCTTATATTTATTGCCCGTGCACGCTGGATTATTGAAATCAAATATTCATAAACTTGGAATGTTTGTGTATGACAGACTGCACCATATCGGTGGTTCTTTTTTCTTGTGTTGTCACGGACGGTTTGATTGATTCTTAATTGTTTTTTTTAATGGGGTCGTGTGATTGTTTCTTAATTGAGTTATTTAACGGGGTCGTACGATCGTTATTGCAAACAAGACCTTACCCATGAACTTCAGAGGACAATTTAATTACGATATAAATACATGAACCAAAACTTAATAGGACAAGTTTGTCATTATTTTTTTGAGTGACTGAAATAAAATTTCAAAGATTTATAAGGAGGGTCGGTGAACTGAGAGGGAAATTTTGAAGCCAACACGTACAAGGAAATACATTTGTTTTTTTACCAGAACTTTCCTGTATTTGGCTTTTTGTAGGCAATGAAAATACATGTTATTTATACTTCCTGATGCCTGTGTATTTCGTTTACCAAAGAATAATATTATGGATAAGACATCTCCAGACCATTCAACCCCATGGTCTGAACATCCAAGAAGGAAATGACTAATAACTTTTTGTCTTTGCCTTCTCCTTTTCACCACAGATAAGCCCCCCCCCCCAGTCTACCTCATTCACCAATTAACTACATGTACCTTTCTCTCCCTCTCCCCATCTTTTACTTTGTCCTTTGTGTTCCCCACCTCTTGTGGTCAACCACCCCCTTCCCCCAATCCCCCTCCCTTTTGTTACCCTCCTTTCTGTTCAGCCACCTGCTTTCTCTGTGTATTTTCCTCTGCATCATCTATTTCCACTTGACTGCTTTTGCTACATCAGTAATGTATACATGTACCTGTTTATGTTTATAGTCTTGTCATTTAGCCTTCGAGAAAGACTCTGCTAGGGTCGAAACGTCAGGCCACTAACTATTTTTTTGCATTTATACCATAGGTCCTTTTGGTTGGTAAGCAGTTTGCAACAGCTAATTCTATTTTTCAAAGAATAATATTATGGAAGATATTTCATCACAGATTTAGTTTATTTGAAAACCTCAAATTCAGTCTCAAAATCAAATTTGGAAAAGTCTGTAACAGATGGAAAAGTCTGTAACAGATATGGGAATTTCAAAGGGGACAGGTGGGGTGAGCTAAGATTCCAGGAATTTTCAAAGTGATGGCTGACAGGTTTCAGTTAACACATACAGAGATTGAATCCCTCAATCAATCAGCCGAGAGTTTCTGGAAAGGAAATTTGCTATTTTTTCTTATTTTTAAAGTTACATGTGCATACAATCCTATATTAAAAGATCCTACACTGTCTGTCTGATGTGTCATGTTTTTTTTGTAAAAGGCCTAACCAGTGTGCACAAAATGCAAAGTTAAGGGAGAGGTATCCAATGTACTATGCTATGATTTCACTGTCCTCTGAAGTCACGGTTTGGCAGTGAAAAAAAAATGATTTCTTTGTTTTGTTTTGCTTTTTGGCAAATTTGTTTCTTTCAGACTTTCAATAGTTCAAAATTTCAATATTATCTCTATGAAAACACTCCAAAACATATCCCTTTTATGCAAAACATAACGCTGATGATGACAAATGGGCAAATAGTGTTTCACCACGGCATACCACGCCCACTTGGGATCAACATGCAAATTGAGGTCTAAGTAATACATTCGTACATGACTCCACCCAGCTGGCTAATTTATGTACAGGCATGCAACTGGGAAGTCACAAAAAAGGGAAACTCAAATCTTTCCAAGACTTTGTACAGGGTTTTTCTATTTTCAATGGCACACATGGGAAGTAAAAAAAGGGGAAATCAGCTGATCCCAGGAAAAGTTGCACGATGTAAATAAATTCACACTTGTCTGATGGAAGGGGTGTGGCTAGAACCCCCAACCATCACCTTAAACTTGCCCTTACAAGTTTATAAATTTCTACGAGATTCATTATGCTGCCATAAGGGTGTAGCTACACAGTGCAGACGGACAGGTCATGTCCGAATCAAATGGCTATGGCTAGGAATACCACACATGTCTATGGGAAGCGGCTTCATCTGCTTCCATAGGCATATGTACAATAAACCAGCCATACCCAAGTAATTTGGAGTTAGCCGTTCAGAGCAAGCTCCGTGTAGCACTGTATCACACCAATCATCAAGGGTGGGCCCATTTTCATAGCGCTGCTTAACAGTTAGCAGAAAAGTTGTGCTTACCAGAGTTGTAACCAAGTCATTTTTTTTCCAAGTCAAGTCAAGTCCTAAGTCAAATTTTAGCAAGTCAAGTCAAGTCCCAAGTCATTTTTTCCCAAGTCAAGTCAAGTCTCGAGTCAAAAAAATAGAGACTCGAGTCCGACTCAAGTCCGAGTCAGCGACTCCAGTCAACAACACTGGTGCTTACTATAGCAGAAAATGATGCTGAGCTTAAGCACCATTTCGTGGGTGGTGTGGATGTACTAACAGTTGGCGTGCATAGAGATTTCTATTGTTGCGTCACTGATTTGAGCAACTTATTCCTCTGGGGTTAAGCGTGCTTTTGCTGTGCTTACTGCTTACAATCTCTATGAAATAGATGGAGGCTCTGTTAGCATAAAATTGGCTGTTAAGCAGCGCTATGAAATTGGGCCCTGGTCCTTGGCAGTGTCAACTTACTGAGTGGCGTCTCATCGTTGTTTGTTTTCGCCTCCAGATCGGCTCCATACTGCACCAGTAACTGGATCATTTCTCCCTGTTGTTGAAAAGAAATGATGGATACACTTTTTAAGACATCAATCAAAAACTACTGTTTGCATTTTATTCATCCCCATATTTTGTTTACATAGAGCAGCGAAACGATGAGATTTTCAAGTTTTTAACTCACATGAGCCCAGCATGCTGTCTTTTTAAGACATCAATCAAAACTACTGTTTTCATTTTATTCATCCCCATATTTTTATAACATAGAGCAGCGAAACGATGCGATTTTCAAGTTTTTAACTCACATGAGCCCAGCATGCTGCTGCATGTATAGGCTGCCAACCATCGCTATCTTTGGCGTTCACGTCGACGTTGCTGTCCAGCAGGAACTTGGCCACTTTGTCGTAGCCGTTGGCTGCGGCTATGTGAAGCTATGAGGAACAATAACAAACAAGAACTCTTCAAATATCAACTGAAAGAAGTAAACAAATTTGGTGAGCTTAAAATATTTTGCTGTGCAACAACGGCATCAGTTACTTTTAGGACCCCTTCCTATACAAGAGAATGAAAAAGCACTTTTTTGTTTTGAACTCGCCTAAACGGCAGGCAGAAGACTAGATTAAAATTTTCTTTCCGATGGCTCTGAAGGATTTTTTAAAAAGGAAGTAAAGTCTGAGAACCATTTGGCTTACAACTGACGCATGAGCAACGGTCGAGCTCCGTGAAAATAGCAACGGCGAAAAGATGGAGGGGTCCTAAATGTAACTAATGCCGCAATACAAGTTACCAGCAAAAATACCATATGTTATATATGTAAATGACATGTTATGTCCAATGTACCGTACATGCATATATATGTACATGTACCCGCATGCTCTTTGGGCCCAGGACAAAAAATAGCAACAAATCTTGTGCTTACGGTAAGTGTGTTTCATGGGTTAGCAAGGAATTTTTGCTTATGCGCATGTGTGCATCCCATAACTAAGGATTCTGTGCTTACAGGGTTAGCACAGAAGGTTTCTACTAGCGCTGTTAGCACGAGAATGGTGATCGTAAGCGTGGAATTCTGTGGTTAGCAGAGCCATGCAAATGGCCCAGTTCTCAGCACAGTTTTGCGCTAAACGCATGTATACAATGCTAACATAAGCAATATCTGCTTAAACTGACCCAGTTTTATCATCGCAACTGATTCTGTTGGCTGGTGATGGATGACTGAATTTTTTTTCCAGTTTTTGTCAAAATTGTTTCAAATTTGTTCGTAATTTTTGCATCAGTTTACATTTGTACCTTTGAGTTTTCTCTTGGCGCCCTACGTTAGAGTCAGAATCCCACCGACTCCAACAACTACATGTAGAAGGGGTCATTCTATAAATGTTGGGGTCCACTTTCTTACCGTTCCTGTTACATGATCTATGATTTGTAAATTCCTGATGCACTCTTAAATGCTTTTCTTGCCTAAGAGTGAAATATGTTAAGCAAACTCCATTGTACCCAACATCCAAATGAGAATAGTTTGAACTCATTTTCAATGACACTTGAGCGGCACATTGAAAAGTCCAGATGTAACAGGGACAGGAAAAAATGTCACAGTTTGGACCCTAAATTTATAGAATGGCCCACCTCTTGCTAATTGGTGAGAACAAATAGCGGGGAATTGTTGTGTACTGTGGGGCGCTGTGGTCCAATGGTTACGGTGCTCGACTTGTGTGCAGTGGTACATGGGTTCGAATCCTGACCGTGGGAACATGGTGCTAGTGCTCTTGAGCAAGGCACTTTACCATTATTCCTACATCCTTCGGATGGGACGTAAAGCCGTAGGTCCCGTGTGTTGTGTAATGCACGTTGAAGAACCCAGTTACACTTATCGCTAAGAGAAGGGGTTTTCCCCCGTGTTTCTGGCAGTGGCTGCAATATGCGCTGCAGCACCTTGTAAATCATTATAAGGTGCTACATACATGTAATGGGTCTCATATTTCTCATAAACTTAATTTACCTTTCTTTAATAATTGACATAATTTCCAGCGCATTGAGTACCTAATTGTTGGTAGATACGTGCGCTATATAAGACTCCGTTATTATTACTGGCCACTACTGACTGACTTGGGTTAGGGTCGGGGTTAAATACAGACATCTTGCTTACATATGTAGCACCCATCTCGTCGGTGGCCTCTAGATCTCCCTCGTTGCTCTTGATGAGCTCACTGAGTTCTTGTAGCATGCGGTTGGGTGCCACGTCTCTCAGCTCATCAATCTGATCTTGTGTGATACCTGTATGGAGCACAGAACAGGAGACAAGAAACCAGACATGCCAAAATTAGACACAAAGAGTTAATTTTAATTTTAATTTACATAAGGTTAAAATATTTAGGAGATATGAAGAAGATAATTTTCCATTTTGAAAATGACAAAGACTTAATTGTTAAGAAATCGAAGACAAGAAAGTTATATAAAAAACACCAGACATCATAGAAGCGATTTCAATTTAAGCTGAACTTGACTAAACTATCTTCATTAAGGGAATAAATATGTGCTTGGTAAGTTTCAAACACATACGTTTAAAACCAGCTAGGGTTTGGAAGCAGAAAATGGCCCGAGCCAAACGCTAGCGTCATTATCCACGTCCATGCCCCTTGCCGGTTTAAAAGTACTTGTTTAATACCAGCCAAGCACATATTTATTCCCATTCATAAACCTTTTGGTCCAAAAGTCAAAACAAGTCAAAAATTCACAATTTTCGAACGATTTTGTTCAACAATTTTACCTCATGTTTAAATTGTGCAACACCCCCCTGGCCAGTCAATGGTACGTACCTCACGCGCTTAGTGCTAAACATCTCCTTTTATGGAGATTGGCGCATGCGACGCGTACTGTGCGATGTGTTTAAAACCAGCCGGTGTTTTATCAGCGGTTTAAAACCACCCATGTGAAAGGCTCTCAACCAATAGGAATGGGTAAACTATCTCAGGTATTTATGAATATATGTTAACTTGAGGACAATGATTTTTTAATATTTTAATCCCACCATTTCCTATCATTGTATACCGGTAGGTACACTTGCGCACAATGGCAGTGAACCACACAAACACCGTTGAAGGAATTGTTCAACAAATTGGAAACATCCTCTGCACAATATGACAGATCCCATACTTCCCCTCCTTAAACCTCGAATTCTAGTCCGGGATTCACTAACTAATGCTTTCTGTCCAGGAATCTGTAGAACAATACACAAGGCGTATGTCTGTGGTTTCTGTAATAACATGTATGGTTTCCTTTCCTGAACACTTAACGAGTCAAATACATCTACACAATGATTTGTTAACCTTGATGTTCTGGGAGTTATTCTGTATTATGTTAAAACCATTCAGATGTCAGACTGCGGGAAGCCATACAAATCATGTGCCCAAAGAACTGCACTGTAAAGGCCTGTCAGGTAGATTTCACCTTTGTAAAGTGGGTCACCAACTTGTCCTCTGTTTAAGAATAACAGTCTAAGGGTTTAAAAAGGTCAACTGCCCTTTCTGCAAATAACATACATGTACATGTACATATACATGCTTATTGGTAGGAATTGTGTGAGCTAATCCTATTGGGAAATTTGGATGGGAAATTTATCTGCAGATTAGTTTAATCGAGAAAGGCTGGGAACTGTTTGCATTATCCATAATTTGTTTCCTTGTCATTTGTGCAATGTACAGTACTTCAACCACCGCCATCTATTTAAGACTGAGACCTTTTGGGGTTTTTCCCCTGATTTTTTTTTAATTTGAAAATTAACATATTTTTGCACACACTATTTGAACAGATTTCTGTTTAAAGAATCCCAACTCCCTATCTTCCTTGGGGGGGGGGGGGGGGGACACTTTCATTTTTTACAGATTTGCAAGAGCTCGGAACTATTCCAATTATTTACGTAATATTGTCTCCAAGGTTACTTGGTTACTCTAATGGATTTTGGTGTCAAATCAGTAAAACGAATATCTTCTTTGTGAATGACCACAGCAAAATGTTCAACATCTATGATACAATTTAACAGACTATGTACTAAGGCACCGTACGTGCTCCGACATAAAATCTGTGATGTGAGACGGGCCTTTCTTTCGAAATTCGGAAGGGAAATCGTGTGTCCATTGTGGGCCAGCGAAGGAAGTCTACCGCAGAGACAGCATCCTCAAGATGATGGGGGGGGGGGGGGGGGGGAGTGAGGCGGAGAGAAAATAAAGACCTGGAGATACTTGATACAGAGTCTGGGTAAATATAAGCCGGTCTCCAGAGAGATACATGTACGCTCTAACGCTATTGATCTGGGCTGTATTGATCAGGCCCACTGATAGACTGGGACTTTTTATTTGCTGGGCGTCCCCGCTTTGCCGCTTAATGATACTCAGATGTTGCCGGCGTCTCTAGACATTACAACCTTGGTTTGAAAAAGGTCGGCGTTTTAATTTGACATGCTGTGGATGTTAACATGTACTGTTTAAGAGAAGAGATTCTTTACGATGCTCAGTCTGAGTGTACAGGTGGTTCGGTGGAATATTTTTAAAGGGCGGGGGGGGGGGGGGGGGGGGGGGGGGAGGGTAAAATTCAATTTTTTTTCAATTTTTCTGTTTTCTTTGGGATTTTGACCAGATCAATATTGAAAAGAAAAATTGAAATAATAAAAAAAAACAGGAACTGTGAATTTAACATTTGCCTCCCAGATTTCTGCCAAAATCTGCCAGGCCTGTCAGCACGTTTTGGAGGATTTTTCAGGATATTAGGATGGTAGAACCATGTGTCCTTTCTCTATGGTAAAACCAAGCTACTGTAACGTTGTCTGACATCTGTGATTTTATAATTGTGATGCAATCCTTGATGTAGTCATCCTCTAAAGCCCTTTTCACACTAGACAAATCTCGGGGTTGACGCAGGGTTGACGCAGGGTTGAAAACATGCATCGTTTTACACTTGAAGAATTTCAACCCTGCGTCAACCCTGCATCAACCCCGAGATTGAGTTCGCCCGGGGTTGAACTCAACCCTGCTCAAGACCAGGGTTGAGATTTTCAACCCGGGTTGAAATTCTTGCCAGGGTTCAAAACAGTAGTAACTGAGCGTGATAAGCTTGATTTGAATGTAACAAGTGCCAAGCAATGCGGGGTTGAACGCGGGGTTGAAAATCCATAACTCAACCCGGGGCAGCGCTGGGTTCACCCAGGGTTGGGCTCAACCCGGGTTGACAGGGTCTAGTGTGAAAAGGGCTTAAGAGTGATTATGAATAGCAAACTACCTACTCAACAAAATAATAACAAATTGTTTGAAGTCACTTTCAATGATACTTGAATGGAAAATTATGAAATACGAAGGTAACAGGGACAGGAAAATGTCACACTTGGGACCCTAAATGTATGGAATGACTCATGTGCCAAAAATAGGTTTTTGCAACGTGACAAATTCGAGAGTAATTTAGCAAGGTTCCTACATTCATGCACTTGTAGTAAAAAAAAATGCCCACAGGAAACAGGGCTAAGGGAAGGCTCTACATCTTCCGCAACATCAACACGCTGTAAGAAATGCAGGAGGGGCGAAATGGGGGGGGGGGGGTGATACTCGTGTCGCTATCTCAGAGAAATCAATCAGGCCCGAGAGTCTAGCAGGGCTCTGATTTTTTTTTTTGGCCGGAAATTGCCGGAAGGCAGTCAAATTTAATCATCGGAATTGATCATTTATGGCTATTTTGGAATACCGTTTCCCTCCACCTCGCAATTGCACGGGGCCCCCGGGGGAAAAAAAATTGGATGACAACTGGGTTTGGGGTTCTTGAAGGTATTTACACTGTAAGCAGGGATAGGGGAGCCGCACGATTTTCAGGATTACTGTATCTACTTGCCGCTATGTTTGTAATGTGTTACTATTTTTCACCCTTCCTGAATACATTAAAACCCTAACTACCCTGAATATGTCAAAATCTGCACAGAGGTTTGGCAGTCATAGTTTGGATTGAGGATGACATCCAAACCACCATTTAATCTACATGAGACTTGGTGACCCAATTTGGTTTAGTTACAGGCATTGTGCCATTGGGTTTGTGCAGCGTCTTGGATTTAGGCCCATGATGTGTCGTTATTAAAAATATACATGTACCAAAGAACTTCAGCAGAAAATTATTTTTTTTGAATCAAGGTTCAAGTACCCAAAATTTAAGTCATGCATGGATCGGGAGGTGTAACCACATTTTTTATTTGTGGTATGTTATCGGTAAAGTTGTCAACCATTTGCAGGTAAGGTCACGTGATCATATTCGCTCATGGTCAATAGAGGGCGCTTTGGACCAATTAAATTGACGTCTGTGTGGAGTCAATTCACAGACTGGTAATAAAGACTGATTTACGTCAGATCAGGACATCGCTGGGGTTGAAGGGAACATATTCCTCCTGAAATATGGCATCTTCACAGAAGAAAACATGAAAACACTTTATTGAAATTGAATTTTTTTTTTCTCCAGCTTGGAAAGAAGCACTGACGCAAACCCATATCGAATTCTATGAAAACAGGAAAACATGTGACCTAAATGTCAAATCCTGGCAAATCTGTTCCGAATCGGGAACACCCCTTTCATGGAACTTTGCACACGGCAAATAAAACTGAGGGGGTTTCCAGGCAACCGAGATCCCTTGGTTACACCTCTGAAATCCGCCGTTAACGGGCTGCTTCCTCCTCCATCACACAGTAAACAGTTGGCGTGAATATGCGCCAGCTCATTCCCTTGTTGCCGTGGTGATCATTCTACAAACTTTGGTGTGAATTTTTTATAAAAAAAAGGCATTCCGGTGCGGGCTCCCTAAGGAATGGCATGCAAGCGGAACAACTCGGCCACATCAGAAAAAGGACTCCTTATTGGTAGGGTATATATAAAATTTCGCTATGCAAACACGTCCGCAATCGTAAACCGATATCCACCCACCTCTTTCCGCCATTTGGGATTCGATGTAGTCCAGGGTGACCTCATCCTCGCAAATGTCATACGGCATGTTGCCGTCAGAGTTTATGGCCAGCAGTTCCGCTCCTCTGCACAGACAAAAAATATCAATATTTCAATAATTGTTGACATAAAACTCATAAACCATTTATTATTGATTGCATGAAACAGTGTACATTATTCAGTTGTTCGACAACTCGACATTGATATGCACGGATGCTTTGAAACAAAAGGATGCCAGTTAGTATAAATAACGCTCAAAATATACATCTTTTTTTACAAATTCAAGACCAACGTTTACAATGTACAAAAACAGAATAGAATTTTAGAATGGAAAGAGCCCCATTTTGAGGATATCTAAATTTGTTCCTTTTTTCGAAGATGCAAATATTTTTAAAATTGCAGTTCGACACTTAGGATCAATGTACTTGTGTGAATTGGAGAAGTGGTCGGCAGATATCTCATTCAAACTTCTGGCTGTTAATAAATGTTTTATTGGAAAAAAAACCCAAATCAATTTGCAAAGATCTTGCTTACGAGCAATGTACTAGCTAGCCATTTTATCAGCCAATTTACTAGCAAGCTGGCATGTACCAGCCAGCTTACGAGCCAAAGAAACAACAAAACGCATCGCGCAGTAGTCAGCAGAAGTACATGTACATGCACAGCAAACTGCCAAAAATTCAAGAATAAACAATTTTTTAAGCCTGCGTACACTAAATCAATAGTGAGTTTGAGCAACAAATTTAGATTCCCGACGCACAGAGTTCAACAAAAACACAGCAGTGCTAATTGGTACATGCACAAATGGAATGCGATAGTTTACAATTCTCCACCGAGCGAAAAAAAAAATAAGAGTGATTGATTGAATATTACTCCTGGTTAGCTAAACCAATATTTAGCTTTCATTTTAGCGGTGCAGTATCGCACCCCCGAAACGCCGGTGATGGTAAATGCTAGGTGTGTGACGCACTGGCTGTCAGGCTTTAAAGACATGCGTGAAGCGTGACCCCGAAAAGGAGCCCTCATTTTTCTATTTTGTTGAAAACGGATGACAGACCAACCTGTCTTTATCAGTCACAGCGCAATTTGCCGCGCAACAAACCATGTCTGAGACATTGTTATAAATGGAGGAAACAGTAAGTGTTTCACCGACTCTAACAAGGATATATGGATTTTTCCCCCCTCTCTGCTCACAAGGACCTCACGTGGCTACAAACCAAACACACAATCTTGAAGTCGATTGTCGGGCCGTGTTGCAACCCTACTCCCTCCGTATGTCAAAGGTTCTAGCGTTCCGCTGTCGCTAAAAATAACAAACCGTGTCCCAGTCTCGCTCACGTGCGTTGGTGTTGCAGGAAGTCGGCAATTTGATACATGTACCGTCGGTTATTCAATCTCAGAAATGAAGGAATCAAGGGTGATATATTAGCAGCCGAGTGTTTTTTTTAAAACAAGGAGCTAAAATAAACACAGGAGCACGGTTTAAAATAACAAAATACCGAGAATAACGACGTTTCAAGCAGGAATGCCTGGTAAATGTTTAAAACATGTGCAGTTTTGGCACACATGCTGCCAATGTTTTATATGAACTCACAGGGGCAGATCCAACTTTGGCTGGGGGCGAGGTTTGGCTTGGGAGTGAGGGGGGGGATGGTTTAACAGGCATGTGCTATTTTACATTATTTTCTTATTTTATGGGGGACTCAAGGGGGGGTGGGGGTGTTAGACCCGCCACTGACTAAAAGAAATGTGCCAATATAATAGTCCACATTAAGTAGTGTTCATTTAGTAGTACTATTTGCTGAAATACGTACTTTGAAACAAGAAAGCGCGCCAGGTTAGCGTGTCCGCAGGTTGACGATGCATGCAATGGCGTCCAGAGTTCTCGATCCGTCACGTTCACGTCGGCATGGTGTTCCACTAGAAGCTTCATCATGGCCTCGTTATTATCAATACAGCACTGATGATGCAAATGAAGAAAAGAACAACCACCAATCAAACGTTTGCATAAAAGAAATTACAAAGTAGGAAGGTAAAAACACCACTGGATCAAGAAACTGTACATTTATTTTTATTTGTAACTGAAATAATTAAATTTATTAAGGGAATAAATGTGTGCTCCGGAGGTTTTTATCACTCTGTTTAAGACCACTTAGAGTCTGGGTGCTGATAATTACCCGAGCCGGAGGCGAGGGTAATTATCAGCACCCAGACTCTAAGTGGTCTTAAACAGAGTGATAAATACCGATGGAGCACATATTTATTCCCATTCATAAATACCTTTTCGGTAAAAAAAAATCATATAATTCGTTCAAAACATCCCGATTTTGTTCAACAAATTCACTTTATGCTTTTTGAAACATCCCTCTTGCAAAATAATGGAGTGTTCAGCTGGCGAGTAAGATGTAAACAACCCTTTTATGGAGATTGACGCGCGCGTATCATGTTCTGCGCGATGTCCCGCAGAACGCACCTGGCGCATTGCGTTTTGAATTTAGAACTATAAAATTAAGACTCCCTGGTAGTGTTGCGCATGCCCACGTGAGGATTGTGAACGTTCAACCAATGAAACGATAAGAGGCACTGGATTTTTAGGAGTCCTCATTTTATTGTGACACTGGAAAAGTGTTTAAGACCAGCTAGCCATGTCTTTATCATCCGTTTAAGACCGGCCACGTGACGGGCTCTCGACCAATAGGAATGCGTAAACTGTCTTAGGTATTTATGAATTTTGGTTAACTGTGACAGTTAACCTAAAGATACATAAAAATATCTGCTTAAAATTATGTCTTTGACATTGTCTTTTCATGAAAAAATATAATTTAGAAATTGTAATATTATTTCATTCGCTTGCTTTCCAAACGCCAATACAAAATCTACTTAGCCATATGAAACCCGAGAAAAATACAAATTGTAATGTACATTGTAGAATGTATGATTAAATACCTGTGTACATGCATACATGTACACGTGTGCCAACTGTTCATGCATTTCATGAATTTTTAAAATTAATTTTGGATATGTGAAAAACTGGTTTATTTATGAAATAGACAAGTTTGGACTTTTTGCAGTGTTGGGTGGTACAGAAAGACATAATTCAGGCATTACCAAGGAAACATTAATTTTTTTTTTTACTGTTTGTTTATTGAACAAGTAGAGTAAACAAATATAAAGATAATGTTCTTATAATAATAATAATAATGGAGTCTTATACATTTTGTAGCGCACGTATCTACCAACAATTAGGTACTCAAGGCGCTGGAAATTATGTCAATTATTAAAGAAAGGTATAATTTATGAGAAATATGAGACCCATTATGTAGCACCTTGGTTTACAAGGTGCTATATTGCAGCCACTGCCAGAAACACCAGAGCAATTTAAAGATACGGGCTGATATCCCACATTGTCTGGCTATGCCACTTGCCGTCAGTTCAAGCTTACTTTATTTGACTGAAATTGATCCCCACCAAAAAAAAAAAACCCTGCCAAACACTCTCAGCCTCCTGGCACATTAACCACCATTAGAGTCATTTAGGGTAGCCACGGTAACTCCTCATAATTCTGCACTCTGGCTTCACACCTTCGGTGAGACCGGTAAAGCGCATAAATTTAGGCATTGACGTGAACACGGAAGGGGGGGGGGATGGGGGGGGGGGAATCATGCTACTCACTCAGCGTGTGGCGGCAGATTTTTCACGAATCGCTGAGGGAGCGTCGATGCAAGATATGTAATCAATGCTAGGGTGACTGGCTTGAGTAAACTATTTGGGATTCCTGTGACACTCACGCTTTATGTTTATAAACAAAATGGATTTTAAAACAGTCTGCACAGGTACTGGGATTAGATTCTGGTAATGGAAGAATTATGACTCCATTGTCCAATCAAATGCTTATTTGATCACGTGTTGATGTAAAAACAACGAGTTTTATTTACATTTTACACAAATTTTGTCATCTAAAAGTAAACATATGTTTCACACTCAATTACAGGATTTTTTATATTGAAATTGCGCGGGCAAATCCCTAAAACTGTATTCATAAATACTTGAGAGACAGTTTACTCATTCCTATTGGTCAAGAGCCTGTCATGCAGATGGTTTGAAAAAGATGACATAAAACGGTTGGTTTTAAACACAATTATGTTGCTCATCATAATGTCTTTTCCCTTCATATTCATAAAGTTCAGACGCAATTCAGAGTGTCTGAGAATTGTCATGTGCATTTGGCTGATAAAGTTCACTTGATAAAGCTATATCTCTTCTTATCCAACTTCTCCTCCTGAATGTGGAAAGACCTATCACACTTCACACGTCGCAACCTTGAGCAGCCATTGGCCTTGCCAAAGTCCAATTGGCGTTACAACAAACCCGGGTAGCCCTCCCTAGCAATAATAACTCGGTTTCGTTTTTTTTTTATCCAACCTGTATGAGGGGGAGTCAGGTTGGTGTAGCGGTACTTTCCTCGCTTTCCACCGCTGTGACCCGGGTTCGAATCCCGCCTGGGCCAACATGTGGATTGGGTTTTTAGTCCCTACCTGATTCTGTGGGTTTTCCCCAGAATAATCTTCTGGGCTTTTCCTCCCACCTTTAAAACTAAAACTGTAATTTCTTCTCATTGTCTCCTCTCTACAGGTTTCTCTAGGCTTGCGAACTACAGTGCCTAGGGCGCTTTTGAGGAATCCTTGGTTTCATTACCAGAAAATAAATAAGAATTATTAATAATAATTAAACAACAGGGGGGATGTTATATTAATAAAGGACAAAGGATACTAAAACTGCTTCATTAAGACCTCTCACCTGGTGTAACGCCGTGAGTCCATCTTCATTGCCAATGTTGGGATTGACTCCTGATTCCAACAGCAACCGAACTGTGATAATACGATTGAGAAAAAAAAAAGAAACAAGATGGATTATTGGTTAGCGCAGATGACTACATCAGGCTCATCTGATTGGGAATAAATCAAGCGTAGTCAAGCAGCTCTGACAGGTTGATGGCACAGTGGCCGCTACATGTAGCTTCTGATCCTTATTATATATTGAGGCATGTCCAAGGCAAGTGCTTTTCCCTCATTTTCCAACACATTAGAGTAATTGAACACAATCAATCAAATGTACTATAAATGAGAATTTTATATTATTTGGGGATGTACAGGGTACATACATCCTTCTAACCAAACAATTGATTTTTATTGGGGGGGGGGGGAGGCTATATAGAGGTAGACAGTAAATTATGTTACATTAAAATGTAGAACTTTACAACTGTTTTTTTGGGACACCCTGTTGTGGTGTTCTACAGGGTGAGTAAAAAAAGCGAAACCCAAATGTCGGGACCATTGTTTTAGTGAAGTTCTGCATGTAGCCCTTTCAAAATATAGGATACCAAAGCCCAATTCATAGGCTTTCTTTTAGTACAAAAATTATTTAAATCACTCATGTACTTTTCAAGTTACGAGAATTTTAAACACAACCACCGTTTCATAGTTCTGTCCACGGATCACAAGAAGGTGAGTGTTCTTTGAATGTTAGACTTTCAGCGAAATGAAAACAAATCACATAGGGATGTGCGTGAATTGTTTTCGTTTTGCTGAAAGAACGCACACCTTTTTTGTGATCCGTGGACAGAACATTAAAACGGTGATTGTTTTTAAAATTCCGTAACTTGAAAAGTACATGAGTGATTTGAATGATTCTTGTACTAAAAGAAAGCTTATGAATTGGGCTTTCATATCCCACATTTTCAAAGTGATACATGCAGAACTTCACTAAAACAATAGTCTCGACATTTGGATTTTGCTTGTTTTGACTCGCCCTGTACAGTAAATGTACATGCACATGGTTCTACAGCACATGCACATGTACCCTATGATGTATGCATTTATAACCTTCTATCTTTCTGCATTATCCTGTGGGAAATCACTCCCCAATCTGCAGCTGTGCAACCCTCTCAGGGCCCATTTGTCATACTGCGTACATCATTCCAACTCGGTCATTATGTCATTTCCCATTACTTTTTTCTAAGCCCCGCGAGACTTTTACGACATGATGCACTTCGGGTGATCTCAGCCACACGCAATACGCATATTTCACATTCAGAATGGTTGTTTCTGACAATTTGATTTTGAAATACGAGTCTGGTCCCGGACAACCAACGCCTCGGAATCGGATTTAATCATGGAAGTTGTGTACATAGGCCATAGTTATGATGGTGCCATGCATGAACACAACATGTGTATGAGTACCGTATATTATCCACTGCACACAGCGCAAGACGTGAAAGGCAAACTTTCCACGTCAATCGGTGAAACAATATAATACATTCATGGCAACCGGCATGCACAAGTGGCCTTTTCAGAAGCCAGAACACATATTTTCTTTTTCTCGCTTCAGCAAATTTGCTTTTGTTATTTTCCTTTCAAAGTTTTGAATCTGACAAAAGTTTAAATGTGCCCGCTGTCCTACTGCAGTGCGGTAACACACAGCAGTGGCTGCATGTTTCAACAGTTCAAGGCTCAATTTTTTTCATCACTACAAAGAAAATGTTATACATCATATACGCCTGGCAGGTTCACCCATACATGTCATGTAATGTACATGTACCGGTATTTACCGTACACAATGTACTATTGTACGAGTATATGATGCAGACATGTGTAAATTTATCTTTTTGTACATGTACATGTGTACTGGTACATGTGTACATTGTAGATTGTGCATGATGTGTATGGTACATGTCATGCATGTGGATGTTACATGTACATGTACATGTAGTACAGTTTGTTTACAGGCACTGTGAATCTGATATACATGTAGCATGCATTTGTACATGTTAAGTCTAAGACTTTTTCGCTGTCCACGTTCCCTCGTTGCAGCCTTAAATTGCTTTGTACATGTAGTTCAAACTTTGCAGTCAGGATACATTGTGTACACAGGATTGAAGAAAAAAAATCCCAGCAATGTACAGGTAGTAGCTGGTTAACTGTACACACTTTATGTGCACTGTACTTTCACAGATATTGGAACGGAAAATGCCTTTAGTCATCTAGTTAAATGATCTTGAAACTTCTGCCAAAGGGGAATTAAAAATGTACCGTAGCCCTATGGGCTCTGTGCGCTAAAAAAATGAGGGCGCCCTTTTACCTACGGTAGCAAGGATGTCCCATGGGCGGGACACATACATTTCGCTGGTTGACGCGCACGCACCATTCCTTGTGTGTGACAGACGTATACCAAGGCATTTGTACTATGTACACGCAGTGGCTGCGCTTCACGGCAAAATATTGCAGTCAGGCAAGATGGCGTCGTTCGGTCACCCCCAACTGTACTTTCTTTGCCGGTGAGGGGGTACTTGTGAACGGAGCGGATACATGTATCTTAGTGTTGGCAGTTTTCCAAACAGCACGTGAAAAAACAAAACAAAGAAAAACCTTGCCGAGTCCGTCCTGATTGCAATTTGTGATGTCAGGTCCTTACGTCTGTACATTTAATGATTTTTTTTTTTACGAGATGATTTAGAATATGTACACAATGTAGTAAGAATGATAAAGCTTAGTTCTTGGTGATTGTAAATAAGAATAGATTAATTTTCTTTACCATTTTCTAACTGTTTTGAAGCAGTACACTACATGTACATGTACTGTACATACATGTACATGTACGGTATGTATTTCGGGCACTTCATAATGTACAATAACAAATTATATAGTACCGGTAGGGCTGTTCACTTGAAAGCAACATCACTCGACCAAAAAAAGACTTTAGAAAAAGAAAGTTGATTTCTTCCATGTAATGTCCTCAATGTTCAGCTGGGTTTATTGACCTAAATGGGGGTTATAATTTAAGACATTACCTCAGCACTGGTTATTGTACCTTTACACAATAAGTTGTGAAATTCTAAAAAATTTCTTTCCTTTTCTTAACGAGATCTTGTGCTTTCACAAACCAGGAAGTGCACTTCACTTGTCAACTTGCAAACTTCACCGATAACAATCGATTGTGTAGGTGTGGGTGTGTTTGTGTCGCTAAACTTGGGTTGAGACTTGAGAGACCGAAAGAAGGAAGCTCTGACAAGTGAACTGAAGTACATGTATACTTATGTACACAACAACAATGTGCATACATTTATGCATACTACTTGGTGTTGAGCATACATTTTTCATCAGTTGCCAAAAACTTTTTTGGCTTTCATGTTTTGAGTATCTGAAACCAGTTTTGAAGGGGAAATGGTACTGTAATTCTTTCCATCTGTCTGCTATTCAAAATGGTTTCACTATCCATGCATACATGCTCATGTACCGGTACATGTGCGTAGATTTATCCTTGAACATCAAAATTGTTCTAATCATAGAAAATTTCTTCCAGTAACTGTACATGTATGTACCGTGGTGGGTCATTCTATCAATTTGGGGTTCACTTTTTGTCCTATCCCTGCTTAAGTCTGACTTTATATTATTATTCGAATGTACACGTACACTTTAATGTAGTTGTCCTCCAAGCACGATTATGAATGTCAAACTTCAAGTTTACCCAACAAATAAAAAACTGTTTGAAGTCTATCTTAATGATATATAATAATGTATAGAATGACCCACATACATGTGATTTTTTTTTTACAGTGCGTTTTTGACCTCCAATTCTGATCCGCTATAGACTTGAATAATTCATTTTTTTTTGTAAGTGGTACGTGTTCACTTTCTTATGGGAGCCAGGTGGGGGTGAGACCTCCACCAAGCTCCCATAAAAAGTGCACGTGTGAACAAAGCGTGACGTCATTATGATTCAGGACTATTACCTCGATATGCCAGACTCGAAAGAATTTAGACTCCTGCGATAACACGCATACCACGCTAGTTACATTTTATCACTAGCTAGGTTTAGCGCGTGTTTATCGCGCTAATCACGCGTGGTTATCGCGTGTACGCCGCAGTGTTTTTCACATGGGCACTGACAGAAAGACGGAGAGCGGCTCCACGCGATAATCACGCGCGGGAAAAATATGCGGGAACAGATTTGGCGCTTTGTCCCACGCGTGGCTCCACGCACGGCTCCACGCGCGGGGAAAACTATCCCACGCGTGGGGCCGGGGAAGACAGACCGCACACCGCCCCGGAATACCGGCTGGGCTTTGCGCCTGGGACGGCCGTCTTTGCGCCGTTAATTTCCCGCAAGTTGGCGGCTGAATGATGTCAACTCAAGGAGGCACAAGTTTTTACACCTTAAAAATTTCCGCCCAGTAAAAAAAAGTCGGCTCCTTCTCAAGTTCTATGAAAGAATACTTCCCAAGGCAGTACTGCCGTCCAATCAAACACAAGTGGAACGAAGCTGAATGTCAGAACGACAAACGACGACCAATCACATCTTGCCATCTCACAAATTCCTACTTTAATTGGCTGCAGACCATGACCCTTAGTCAACAAAGAAACTCTACACGGATGTAATTCGAGAAGTCAATTGGACAACAGAGGCATGCTGCCGACGACACTGCTATTAGTTGGCTGTCAATCATTCTTTGGGAAGTGTTTTTTTTAATTCTCCGGAGCAGATTATTATGAAAGATACTGGCCCTTTTTTAACTGGCTCTGTTCATATTCCTCTTTGAATAAATACATGAATGAAAACTTGCAACTTTACCTTAGCATCATTTTTTTCGTATATGGGTCCGAAGAGATCTTTCCCCCTCATGTTATAATAGTGTTTTCCTGGTTTGCGATAATATTTTTCCCGCCTAGTTTTTCTCGGTATAGAATATTCTGTTCCCTATCTCTTCAGAGAATTTATGTCCCAAATATTCTATTCCCATGCAGGAAACTTGAAATGTCCAGTCCCGAACAAAGACTCATTTCGTTCTTCGGAATAATACTTCTTTCACTGACAG